GCTTGAGACGTCTCCGTATTTGCTCTCTGGCCGTGGCAGAAGAGGCCGGCCCCGCCCTGAGGTCCAGAGAAGGACACAGGACCGAGAGCCTGGGCGGCAGCGGAGGGCGGGCCGAGCCCCTGTAAGGCAAGGAGGACCCGGCCGGGCGGGCGGCGCGTCCGCGGGGGCGCCGGGCTCAGCCTCTCCCGCACCTGCGCGCGCCTCGGCTCAGGGGTTTACGCCTGCGGGGTGGGGATAAACCGCCCTGTCCGTAAGGACTTCTGGTTCACCAGCGCCCCTTGGCATGACCGCTCACAGTTTTGTTTCCCATAGCTCGCTCGCTCTCAATGGATACGAGGAGCTACTTAGAAGAGTTTTGTTTTTCAATAGATAACAGCCCCTGGGTGGTGTATTTTCCTTTCGATTTGGTAACTAACTTGTTGGGCGCATCGTAGATTTTGCCGAAATAAAATTCTGAGGTCACGTTTTGCTCTGCCATCTGACACGGGAAGATAGGACATAGGCGGTAGAATACAGTCCATGAAGAGCGTATTTACCAAAAGCTCCCGTATTTGCTGCAGTTTCCACTTGGAAGGTGAAGGATTTGCAATTGGTATAACGAACCACAAGGGGGAGTATTTCTTTTCACTAAGTATATCTAGTTTATGTTGTTTTCTTGTTTTTATTCAAGACGACCAATGGATAAAATTACACAAGACGGTGATATTTTGTAAATAATATCATTCAATCGCAGAAGTGAATGAACAATACTCTGTACACCTGCAAGGCACCAGGCACCCTGAGAGGCTGTATGTTAGTATACACGACACTCTGTCTTGACGAGCCAATTGTAGAGGGAAATGCTTGAAATTCTGGGTGACCTCTTTAAATGAGTAATTCCAGATGAGCTTATGTTGAACCAGCCTTTCAAAAAAATAACTGCCGCATCTAGTTTTTAATGAGCAATGCAAAATACCACCAAAAATATGTTAAATGCCTATCGACCTCGCACCACACTGTTTATACTTCCTCAGACAGAGATATCTTCACTTTTCACAAACCCTGTGGCCCGTGTGGACTGAGATCTGAGACTCGATTTCCCCTACTCTCTAGCCCGGCAGAGGAGCATGGGTGTCAGCTGACCTCCGGGAGGTCGCTGAAACCTGGGGAGGTTCAGGAAGAACCCCTGATAATGAGCCACAACATATGCCCGGAAACCCAGGACCAAGTACTCTTTAACAGGTGAAAATGATGGCAGAAAATGTGTGGGTAAAATAAGGAGTGCATTACCCACGTAATTGAAAAGTCCGCGGATCAAGCTTTGTTGGCTTCCTTCCCCTGTTTGTGCTCAGGACCCTGGGACTGGCTCAGAGCAGGTGCAGACTCTATCTTTGAAAAGGGGGTGTGTGCGCCCACGCGCCTTCCCACGGAGAGCATTGCAGAGTAAAACCCAAACCGGCTTTCAGGGATACCGGGATCTGAGGGTTCAGGTTCCCTGTGATCTTCCAAAATCCCCTCCCAGGGTCTCTCCCTTTCTCTTCCATCTCAGCCACAATGGCCCCTCTTCTCTTTTTCAAATGCACAGGGTCCTTTCCTGCCCCAAAGCCAGGTGGCCTCTGTCCCGACGCTCTGCACCCCGCCCCCCACCTGCCCAGGGCGGCTCTGTCACCTCGCCTGTCTCCGAGGCTCAGGCTGGGTGGCCTGTCCAGTCCCCCCTGACCCTACCGAGTGCGCACCTGCTGCTCCCTGTCTCCCTTCCTCTCAGTGCCTGCCGCACACTGTCCTCGCTCCTTTTCTTGCAGAAGAGGCGGACCTATCTGGCTTCCTGCCGAGAATGTAGGCTCCCTGAAGCAAGGACCTTATTTTTATATTCACAGATGTATCCCCAGTGCTCAAATAACAATAAGCTCTCAATAAATATTTATAAACAAATTTCTTTAAGAATCAAGGAACAGAAATTTACTAAGAGGAAAGCAAAAGTGTTTTTTTAAATCATCTGCAAATCTACGACCCGTGTACAATAACTATTATCATTTGATGAATGCTAATTCATCGAACATTAAAGTTACAGAGGTATCATTTTTAAAAAATGCAATACTATGCACTATCATTTTTAAGATTTTAATGTACTTGTACTTGAATTTAACAACAAAATAACTGAAATGAAACTGAAGAAATTAGAAACCATCACACTTTTATTCAGAAGACATAGTTTTTTAGTTGCCCCCAACAGATCTTTCTAAAATTAAGAAACAAGATTATGAAAAATACTGAGGCTTGAATCAATGTTTTGTAACTCCATGTTCTGATTTTGGGCAGTTTCTCTTATGTCTTTAAAAATATTCTGATATCCTTTACATTTTATCCCATAACCATACTCCCACAAATGATGTTACTGTTTTGTATTTAAATGGATTAAAATCTCTTCCATTATTTATTTATTTTTCACCATGCACTTTTTTTATTACTAAGTCTTATACTTTGCTTAGTCTCTTGATTGACTGGGTTTTTGCCCAAGGAGATTTTTAAAGAAGGGCTCTTGGCTCTTTCTCCTTTTTTCAGGTTGAGACCCGTCAGGCTTGGCCTTTATCAGCACCAGCTCAGCTGAATGGGACACTTGGCTCGCCCCTTTGTTCTCAGCCTTTTCTATGTATTGCACACCGCTGTGGTCTGGCATTGCACGTCAAGGGCAAGTCCAAGGCCGTTGTCCTCATTCCCATTCTGTCTGAATGTGAAGGGGATTCTTTATCCTAGATGTTTACAAACGTTAACCAGCAGAGATGCCGGTGTTACTCAGTCCTTGCCAATCCTTGTTGCTCTGGGTTACCGCCTGGTCTCCCCAGTCTCACCCCCACTCCTCCCTTGCAGGGGGCACCCTGCCTCACCAACTACTCTCCCTTCTGTGGCCGCACCGCGCCGCTACCCCCACTCCACCCGGTGCGGCTGCTCATTCCAGCCGCCTTCGCTCCTGCCGCTTAAGGGTGAGCTGTTCCTCCAGCCCAGCCCTTAGGTGAGCAGCCACTGGCACGCCCCGCAACAGTATCCCTTGTACGAATGACCCCCGGAGCCCCGAGTTAGCATTAACACTATGCGACCGTCTCACACCCGGGACGATGAGCGCCAAGGGGAAGGACGCTCCCTTTATATCTCCGTAGCTAACCAGCAATTAAACCCAGAGTCCTAGTTGATAAAAAGCTGGAAAGGTTGGATGGGTAGGTGAGGGCAAATTACTGGGCAGCCAGTGAACAGGTAAAGTGTGCATTTGATGCGCTGAGTGCTCTAAGTCTTTAAGGAACACCAGAGGGCGGGGTGCGTAAAAAGAGGTATTAAGGAGAAGCCTGCCGGTGAGCGGGCGGAGAAGCCCAGCTTCCCAACGCAGGCGCCGAGCGTCCGGACAGCCCGGGGCCGCTGTCCCACGCCTCGCCTCTCGGCTGCGGAGACGCGCGGACACCACCAGTCCTGGGCCCATCTCGGGACACCTTTCGCTCACGCTCCCTCCGCAACCCACCCGCGCGTGGAAACGGAGCTTCCCGCGGCGCCGGCAGCTGAAACCGCGCGGGGCGGGCGCGTACGGCGTTGTGCGCAGGCGCCGTGAGGCAGGCGGAGCCCAGGTGCGCCTGCGCGGTCGGGGGACCTGCGCTCCGCCTCCGCAGCCGGGATCCCGACCCGGCAGGTGGTGCGGAATGGTGCGGCAGTGCCAGGTAAGGGTGGGGACCCCTCCCGGACGTGAGCGCCCCGCTCCGTCCCTCTCCAGACCGGGCCCCCTCGCTCTGGCGCTTGGGCGGCTGCGATCCCTCCCGGCCTCGGGGGCAGGGGCCCAGCGCAGGTCCCGTCCAGTCCGCGGCGCTGCGGACCATACGGGCACCCTCGACCTTTGTCCCTGTTCTCGGATTATTCGTTGGGACGAAGACAAGTTTTATTTAAAGATATACGCATTCCTTCCTTTCTTTTTCTCCCAGAGAACTTGTACCTAGCTCATTTTATTTTATTTTTCAATTGCGGTTTACATTCAATGCTACTTTGTATTAGTTGCAGGTCCACAGCATAGTGATTAGACAGTCATCTACTGGAGCGGCCCCCGAGCTTTTTGGCACCAGGGCCCGGTTTTGTGGAAGACGGGGGTGGGGGTGGGGGTGGGCGGACGACACGGGGGGCGCGCTCAGGCGAGTCAGCTGGCTCACCCGCTGTGGGGGGCGGGGGGTGGGGGGCGCGGGGCAGGGGCGGGCGGCGGGCGGCGGGCGGAGCTCAGCGGGCTTTGCTGGCTGCTGTTGGGCGGCGTGGGGGCCGCTGATCGACTTTGCAAAGTGACCCCCGCAAAAGATATGCCCTTTAGGAATTCTTGCGACACCCTTCCTCTGTGCGTTGGCAAACCTCGGACTGTGTGGTAGAGAATAACGTTCACCGAGGGCAGGTGCGTCCTTCCACCTGGCCCGGTCCCTCAGGAAGCGGGCTGGCCGCGCAGATTCGTTCTGGGAAATGCCAGTTGAACCTGTATTTCCAACGCACCTACCTTTGTATAAATGTCAGGGTGGGTCGGTTGTGTAACAACCCTGGGCAGCTGGGTTCAGTGCGGCGCAGACTAGCTTCCCAGGTCAGGTGACAACCGTGAAAGACATGTTTTTCCCTTCTTTGGTCATTTATTTTATTAGTGTAATTCATCATTTGACTTAGACCGCTGTTCACTGTTTAAGTGTTTATGAGCAGTGCTAGAATTTTCTGTCGGCTAAAGACCCACCTTGCTTCACAGTCGCCAGGGAGACAGTGTGAAGGCTCTACTTGGGCATAATGACATTTGGGAAACTAAAGAGCATTCAGAAGTTAGTGCGAGATGTGGTTAAAACACAGACATTTTTCAAAATGTGAGCCTGTACATGCACTGAAATTTCCATGGGCGGTTTAATGTTCTCTAACTTAGAAAATTTGTCTTTGAGAAAAAGTAATACACTTGGAAGACAGAATTCAGTGTGGACAGTCAGAAAGGACCGTGCGCTGTGATTAAAAGCGTCCTCTCTCCTCGCAGGTGGAAGTGTTGTATTTTGCGAAGAGCGCCGACATAACAGGCATTCGCTCCGAGACCATTTCTGTGCCCCAGGAAATAAAAGCCTTGCAGCTGTGGAACGAGATAGAAGCGCGACACCCCGGGTAGTTAAACAAGTGCATGGGATTAACTTTTTAATATTTAAAAATGTGTAAATGAATAAGGGATCAAAGTTAAAAAAAAAAACCCAAGTTTGATTTTCTTAATGTCAAAAAGGTCATTAGTTCTGTTTTTCTGGAACTACACTGAAACTGAAAATTCTCGTATTTAAAAATGCACAGCTCCTTAAGGAAAGTCAAAGATATTTTCCTGAAAAACGCGGTGAGCTGGGATATTCGCAAAAGGAGATGATTTCCCAAAGGGACAGGGTTATCTTTGCTTTAGTAATTTGTAAGATACTGGAAATGTAGATTTTGCATTTTTATAATGTTAAGTGGAATTGTTACAAATTCCATTTAAAAATATGTGCTTCAAACTTGAAGTCAAAAAAGAAATGTCTAAGGTTAAAAGGAAGATAAGAGGGAAGCCCGAGCCGCTGCTGAACGTGTGCTTTGCGGTGGTCGGTTTTCTCTGGTGGGCAAATCCGTGATTTTATGCTCTCGTTCCCACCGCAAGTTCTTTTTGGAACAAATGACAAAAGGGGATTGTTGGAAGGTGTTAAGGAATATTCGTAGTGTCACATAAGTCCGTGTAAGTGTTTAACATGTGAAAGATACTCCATAATGTATGTTCAAAAGAAAAAAACTACTTCTTTTTTATTTTATATCTTTTAAGTTGCTCTCAAAGTGCCCTGATAATCAATGATACATGGCGGGACCTTTGTCCCACTTTACCTTTAACCTTCAGCCCCTGGGAGACACCTAGTCCTGGGGGGAACTTTGAGGTATACTTAGTATGTTGTACACTTAGAAGGCTCCCGAGATGGGGACATTTTTCTTTTTCCCTTTTTTTTTTTGACCTGGTCTGAATGTCGTCTTCAGTCTAGTTTGTTCGTTTGTTTAATTCCCCAAGACACACAACATCCAATAAAGAGCTGTTAGCAGTTGAATGTGTTCTTTGTGGTGACTACGTGGGTTCTTCGGGGCTGTGTCCTTTCTCTGCAGAGTCCGTCACTTTAATGGGTGGCCCCGCTGGCAGGGCTCCGTGAGGGGATGTTATGCAACGTCTTTATGTAACTGCAGCCGGCGTTTGAGCCTGGCCCGCACCAACACTTCCTCTCTGCTTGTCTCCTTTCAGGTTGGCGGATGTCCGAGACCAGGTGATACTGGCCGTGCGTCAGGAGTATGTCGAGCTGGGAGAGCAGCTCCTCCTGCTTCAGCCAGGGGACGAAGTGGCCGTCATCCCCCCCATTAGTGGAGGGTAGTGCTCGGGAGCCCCCCGAGGACGCGAGGTCCGACTTTCCTCCCCGGTCGTCGGGCGAAGGGTCAGCGGGTGGTGACCGTGTGTGGCTCGCTCCGAGCGTGTGCTCGCTGTGAGACTGCCTGCCCCGGCTCCCGCTGAAAGCGGCAGCCCTTGCTCGGCGCAGGCGAGCGCCCACATCCCCGCCTGCCGTCGCGGCGGGAGTTCTCTGCAGGCGCGATGCCGGCGGGGTACGCTCCTCCTATTCACGTGCCATGGTTTACGGGGATTTCATCGCGTGTCAGGCACAGGGTCGGATGCAGGAGCATCGAGAGCCCTGTTTTTCAGGAGGGAAGGCCGACGCTCGGAGGAGGTACAAAACTCGCCCGTGATCGCGTAGCTAATACGTGGCAGAGCCAGGGTAGCGCGCAGGTTATCAGACTCTGTGCCTTTTCGCAAATGTGTTTACCAACCTCGAGAACAGCTCTCCTGGGCAGAAGTGTAGAAAATCACCTCGCCAGGAAGGAAAAGGACCACTGTACCTGAAGAGCGAGCTGGGCAGCGTCCAGATTTACCAGGTCCACAGAGCGAGCCGCGTCAGCGTGAGAGCCGTGTGCAGGCGGCTCCAGCGCGCTGCCGCCTCTCCGCCTTTCCCGACAGCGTGGGCCACGTCTGAGCAGGGTGACGCGTAAGAGCATCTGTCAGTGTAGGCTGGAGGGACACAGAGGACGAGGCTTGCTTTATTGTCAGCCGAAGCGTAAATACCATAGAAATCAACCCAATGAGAAACTTTGCTAAGTTAGGAATCAAAGAAAACTTTCTCAGTTTGATAGCGTTTTTCTCCAGGACCGAGAGCAAATGCCGTCCTCAGGGGTGCAACCCTGGCTTCGTTAAAGGAAGGAACAAGCCGGGGGCGCCTGGGCACCCTTTTACCCACTTTTCCTGCCCTCGTCTGGAGGGCGGTGCCCCCCAAAGTGAAGAGTAAACAGTGCAAAGCACATTGCCCAGCATGTCCGTGGGGACTGGGTCCCTGTGAGTCTTACCACTTAGAAATACGAGAAGAATTCCTCGTCAAACGGGCATCTCTATTTTATTTGGGAACTGGGGTCACCTTATCACCTGTACGCTTTTAGAAAAATGCTATTTTTTGGAGTTTGGACTTTATTCAGAGAATGACGGGCTGCTGTTAAAGTTGGGTGTGTGTGATTAGAGCCGCTCTTTAGAAAGATGAGGAAGTTTACCGAACACTGTGGTGGATTGTTTGCATGCCTTTGTCAGGGCTTGAGGCAAGTCGTTTAAGAATCTGTGTCCTCATAGAATCGCGTGTGGGAACTTGGTATGGTTTGAAGTTCGTAGACTGTCCGGTTACCTATATCTTCCGGCCGGGAGAGGGCGTGGAGGGAGCTCAGGGGGCGTGTGCAGGAGGTTGGGGCGGCCCGGCCCCCGGCGGTGCAGGAACGCGTGGCGTTTCTTTCCCGTCCCTGGAGGAGACTGGGAGCAGCACCGCGGGCTTTCCTGGGTTCCTTGGTTGGACTCACCGCGCGTGAGCCCCCAACGCCACCAGTCTCCTCTCGCTTGTCTTTTCCTGTGGGCGAAGCCCCGGGGGATGTGTGATTTGCTCGACCCCTCGTGGCCTGCGGGGCCCCACCTGCCTGCCCGGCTCCGCCCGCCTGCCCTCTCCCTGGCCCGCCGGGCCTCCAGCCTCCCCGTAGTTTCTGGGGCACCTCATGCTCTTCCCTGTCCCAGAGCCTGGCCTTGGCCTTGGCCTCTGTCTCTGCGGGGGGCGGAGGGGGAGGTGGGGGGCGGCGGGCGGCCTGAGCAGGGGTCGACTCCGAGCATCAGCTCTAGAGAGAGGCCGCCCTCCGCCCTCCTACCCTGCACAGCCCCAGCCCAGGCCCCGCGCTCTGTCTGAGCCCCGCCTGTGCCCACGCATCGCGCCCACTTGCCACGCTTTGATCGCGGTTCCCCTCAGTCCGCAAGAAGCCGCCTGAGTGCGGGAAGCAAGTCCTTGCTCCCTGCGCCGCAGCGGGTGCAGGGCGTCCCTGGCCCTCCCTGAGCATGCGCTCCACGCCGGCGGAGTGGGCCGAGGAGAGCGGGTGACCGGCCTGCGGCTCATCCCCTTCCTCCCTCAGGGGCTGCGCCGGGGTCATGTCCCCTTCCTGCGGGTCCCACGTCTGCTTCCCCCGCTGCCTCTCTTGGTTACAGGACAGGGCAGTTGGAGGCGCGCTGCTCGGTCACACAGTGGTTACGGGGATGTGCGTGCGGGTAAGGGGTGGAGGTCGGAACCACCGTGATGGGAGCTCAGGGCCGCAACCCCAGGATTTGGGAGATTGGCATGTGAGATAGATTATGCTCTTAAGTGGTCATGTTAATGGTAAATTCCTTTTTATATCATATTTGATTCATTCGGGGTATTTATAAATAACATTGTTTTGCTAAAATTTGACACTTATTTTTATCATGCAGATCAAATCATGCCTCCTAACACATCTAATGTAGAAAACTATGAATTGAAACAACAGTCTGTAAGTTGGTGTTTTGCCTGGAAGTACCACCAGTAAGGTTTGTTAATATCTCATTTTTAGGAACGATATGAGTGAAGTTGAAGAGAAATCTAAAGACATAATAAAATTCACCACTGAGAAACTTTCTATAGAGGAAGCCTCGCGGGCAGTGACATCTCCACGCTGTGGCGCCATATCCCTGTTCGTAGGTGAGTTGTGAGTTCCCTGCGCTCCCGCGTCCGCTGACGGCCCGCAGCAGAAGCCGCGGGGATTTTAGACACTGGGCGCTAGGCCACGATGGCCCGGGGTGGTGCTAGGAATGTTTTCAGGCCTTGTTTTGTTGTAGCGGTCTCCCAAGTGGCATGTCAAAGGCGTAATCAAAGCAGGATAAGAGTCATTATTAGCAGAGAGAATTCTGTATTTTCCAAACTTTGAGAAAACATAGTGATGGTAATAACTCAATGATAATCCTGAGAACAAAATGTTTCCCTTTCTTTTTTTAAATTCTCACCTGAGGACATTCTTTCATTGCTTTTAGAGAAAGAGGAAGGCCAAGGGTGTTGTGGGGGGAGAAGAGAGAGAGAAATAGAAACATTGATATAATAGAGAAACTTCGATTGGTTGCCTCTTCCTGACTGGGGATTGAACCCACAACCGTTCAGTGTATAGGACAACGCCCAACCAACTGAGCCACACTGGCCAGAGCCATAACGTTTTCCTTCGAAGTATCAAGTGCTACCAGAAAAGAAATATATCCCAGTTTGTCATGGGAGTGTTTCTGTTAGCTTGCCTGGTCAGTGCATTTTATTTTCTTACCTTTGTGAAAATTATCTTTTGTTTTTCTCACCGTTTTCATTTTTAGAATATTTCAAAGTAGTTTTTAGACCAATTGGTATGCTGCTTGTCTACTCAAAAATAACCCTTTTTTATTCTATTAATGTGCAGTTTCTACTACAAGGAGAAACCTTATTTTAATTGCCTTTTTCTTTTCTTTTCTTTTTTTTTTTTTAGGGACCACAAGAAATAACTTTGAAGGGAAAAAAGTCATTAGCTTAGAATACGAAGCCTACATCCCAATGGCGGAAAACGAAGTCCGGAGGATCTGCAGGGACATCAGGCAGCAGTGGCCGGTCAGACACATCGTGGTGTTCCACAGACTCGGGTAGGCCCGCCGCGCCAGCCGCGGAGCTCGGCGTGGCCGCTGCCGCTTGGTGGTGTGCGAGGGACCCGTGTTCGGTGAGGGCAGTGCGGGTGTCCCTCTGGCGGACAGTGGAGCCGCCTCCCCCGCGCCCTTGCGGCGGCTCCTCCGTGGTGGTGGGTGGGGAGCACCCGGCACTGCGCCAGCACCCAGCGGTGCGGGCCCCTTGGAGCGGAATGGCTGCTGCTCTCGAGCCGAAGTCCTGAGGCTGTTTAACACTTGTTTTGTCGTCCAGACTCTGTTTATGTGACAGCCGATTAAGAAAAACATTTTCTAATGTAAATGCCTTTGAAGGTCATTCAATTAGTTTGCCTTTTTGTACCACTAAGAAGAGTTTGGTTCAGGGCTTTACAAAGAACCCAGCGATTGACACTGTATCTATCATGTTCTATTAGTTGTTACTTTGTTATTAATGACTGTAACTGTATGAATAATTAATGTTGCCGATTCTATTATCTACTGTCTCTTGCTATTGTAAATTCCATGTTGCATTCGTCATTGGCAACTGTTTCTCTAGCATCACCCACTGCCCGCACGGTGCCTTATTTGTCTGAGTCAGAGTTTGTTGAATCAGCCAAGGGTCCCTTTCTTCCTGGTGCCCATCAGATGGGCCTGGTGGGGGGACAGATGCTCACAGATCGGCCACCGCCTCCGCGCCCCCTCCGTGAATGCAGCTGGGATGGATTCGGTGCTCTCTCTCTGTTCTGACAAATCTGAGTGTTTAGGTAAAAAGTGGGTTGAGTTCCAAGAGTGTGCCTCTGGATTTCTTTCTCACGTGTAGCAGATTCTTTAACGCGTAGTTTTAGAGAAGACGGTAACTTTCCCTGCATTCTGTCGAAGCTTAGTTCCCGTGTCGGAAGCCAGCGTGGTCATTGCTGTGTCGTCAGCCCGCAGGGCCGCGTCCCTCGAGGCCGTGAGCTACGCCATCGACACTTTGAAAGCCAAGGTGCCCATATGGAAAAAGGTACCTTACGAACATATCTCATTTTGCCTTTGGACGTGATTTTTCTCGGGGGGTTTTCCAGGAGAAGGGTGTAAGAGCACACACATACAGAGTTTGCATTCGTGGGTCTTCCCTGACTTTGTGAAATCCTGTTTCCTTTATCGGTGGAACAGTGTCTGTGTGACACCTTTTCTCCAAGGTTGGTTAAGCATGAAAACCTACGTGCCCCCCATGCACAGCCCGGCGTCGACCCCCACGAGGGGGAAGTGCCCCGTCCAGACGGGCACCCCGGGTGTGAACCCCCGCGGACACGGGGCCTTCCCCTCAGAGCGGGGACTAACGCGTGGCTGTGTAGGCGACGGCTGAGACAGAAACTCTTCCAGGCAAAAGAACCTCCGAGAGCTTCATCCTTTTAGGCAAAGAAAAGGGCGGGGTGCCGCCTCCTCGGAGAAAGCGCAGAGCGAGTGAACTTAGAACTCTGCCTGGGAAGCTGTTCCTTGTTCTCCGTCTCTGTGTCCAGCCCATCCAGAAGGCCGACAGCTCGCTGTTCTGCGCGCCCGGGCCGGCCTGCCCGCCGCCGCCCTGACACTGGCGCAGAGCTCAGGAGGCGGGAGCCGCTTGGTGGGGCGGGAGGCTGCCGGGGGGCGGGAGGGACGGTGCAGCGGGGAGCCTCCCTCGCGCACACAGGGGCCAGCGGGCCTCCGAGCCAGGGCCTGTGGGGTTTGGTGGCCCTGCTTTCTGAATAAAAACCAAAGCCCATTGTCATAAGGGCAGACTCTGGGTGAGAGGGCGTGGCTTGCGGATGGACACTGTCAGGGCAGCTGAGCCCCATGGTGGCCGGCTGTGAACCTGGCTCCCCAGGGCGCGGCCGGACGGCCCAGGAGCAGTTGGGAGCCCGTGGGCGGGGCCGAGGGACAGCCAGCCCACAGAGCTGGTGAGAGGGTCGCCCCCAGCGGCTGGGGGAACAGGCGGTCGGAGGACCATGGGATTTGGAGTCCTGCCTGCCGAACCAGAGCAGACTAGCGAGGAAGCGGGGAAAGTGCTGCGTTCTGACTCCCCTGCCGCCCAGAAGGTGTCTCAGTGCCTCAGTGCGGGTCGGGTTCCCGTGGCGGCCTGGGCTCAGAGGGGCCGGGGGAAGCACTGCCTCCAGAGCAGCTGTCCCCAGGGCGGCCCCGATTGCACAGCTGATGCAACCGCCCTTCCGCCCCCGGAGCGGCGTGTTTAGAAATGTGGAAGTGGGATGAGTGTTCGGAGAGAAAAGGCATTTAAAACTAAAGCCCTCCTCCTCTCTCTCCGTGTGACCTTGCCCAGCTGTCCCCGTCCTGCCCAAGGGGAGCTCACGCGCTGCCCTTCCCGGTGCGCACCCCCATCTTGGTAAGGCCCCTCGTCCCTTGTTTCTCCTGCTGGGTGGGCGTCCCTGCGTGTAGGGAACGCGTTTATTTCCTTTCCTGCTCTCGACGTGTATGTTCGCTGGATTGTTAAAGGAGCAGTGGACGTAAACAGCTGTGATATTCATCTGCCTTCATTATTCAGATGTATTTGTATTTTTTCAAATGCTTTGTTTTGAACACCTGTTTTGGTTCTGTTTTAGGAAATGTATGAAGAATCGTCATCATCTTGGAAGAGAAACAAAGAGTGCTTTTGGGCCACCACCGAGTAAATCACTCACGTGTTTGGAGTGCCAACATTTAAATTGCATCAACTTTGATGACGCTTTGATTTTTCTTCTGCAGAAGCTGAGAGAGTTTAGTGGGAGGACTTAACACTGGAACAAGGGACAGAGGAAGGGCTTCCAGGGACAAAATGGAAGAATACGTTCAATGTGAGGGACGGGTCAGCAGCAGGCAGACTGTCCCGTGGCCAGGTTCTCATTGTCACAGGACTTGCTGCCTTGCCGCGCCCTCCTGCTGAGCTCCTCTCCCTCAGCACCCGCCCCCACCCCTCCCGTCCCATGATGTCATTGTTATCAGGAAGTGTCACAGGACGGTGGCAGAACTGGAAGGTGTACAGAGTCATTATCGGACAGTCTTGATATATTTTTAGAATTTCTATATTTAAAAAAATAAACAAAATAAACACATGATTAAAAACGTTTAATACAAGTATTTTTCTGTTTTTTAAAATATTGTGGTAATTCCGAAAAAAAGTCATCGTATGGAAATTTCTAGTATTTTAGAACCTATCATTTGACCATTACTTACCATATTTTCTTCATTCTTAGTATTGTATCAGTATACAAATAAGCCTAAAAGTGTTGTAAAACCAGGCAAACTGACTAGCAACAAGATTCGCTTGTGTTACAATGTTAGCTGATATTTAAAATTTGACCCACAGTCAATTAAAAAGGAGAATTACGTGGTTGCTTATGAAAGCATTTTCAGATGGTGTTCTCTTCAGCTGCCCGTGGAACATGATCACTACTGAAGTCATCAGGAAACAACTTTCTGCACGGTCTTTATGCGAAGCCAAGGCCCATTCCTTGCTCCGTGGCCTGTGCGCTCTCTTCAGAGCCCGACTGTAAGCGCCATGTGGGTCCTACGGTGATACGATTCCGACGTCATTTCAGGCAGTTGGCACCATCACAAAATTGGCATTATGTGCACTGGGGACAAAGGCTATGCTTGCAGACACTGTGATGGCATTTTTGGTAACATTGTTACATCCAGTGAAGCATTTTTGACATAAGGGATCCATTTTTTCAACCCACGCCGAATGCCTGTTTGGTGCCGGCCGCCCACCTGGTGGTCCTTGTCCCCCGACCCCACACCACGGGGAAGGTCCGCATCCCGTCTTTTCCTGGGACCTGCAGGGCAACCACGCTGACGTCGGGGGTCCCCTGGCAAACGGGGCCCTTCCCTCCGCCTGCTTAGGGCCTGGGCTGCAAGGGCCCGGGGAGGTAGACACGGCCGCCGGCCGCTCCCCTCCTGAGGAGGGCGCCTGGCCCCGGCCCCGGCCCTGGCCCTCACCCCTCTGATTTCACGCCTCCTCCTCCTCCACCAAACCTCAGCCGCCCCCGTGAGAACGGAGGCGGTGTAATCATTCGGAAGGCACGTTACCGCGACGTGACCGGCCCACCGTAGATGTTCCTCGGAGTCTGTGCCCCTACTGTTAATCTGTTTATTGGGTCATAGATGTTAATATTAGGTATACGTGGATTTCAGGCTTTGTCCACTCCAGTATTTCCTCAGAGGACCTTTATGGATGGAAATTATCTTTAAAAAACAAAATATGCCTCTCACACGTTTGTAAACAACCATGCGGTCAGGAAGCAGGCTGCGTTAGAGTCGGAAGACCGACTGCCATGTCCTCCAGCCTCCAGCACAGGGGGCCAGGTGCCGGGGGCCGGGGCTCGGTCGGGGGGCGGTGCTGGAGCGCTGGGGGCGCCGCCCTGCGCTGGCCCGGGGGCTCGCCGAGCCCCGCTTTCTCAGGCGCCGCGGGGTCGTCAGTGCTGGAGAAGCGGCGGGGGCGGGGGGGCGCGGGGGGCTGGCGGCCCCCTGCCTCACTCTCCTGTCCGCGACTTGGCCGCTCAAGTAGTTAGAAGAGCAACTTAAAGAAAAAAAAAAACTGGCCTCTAAACAGATCTCCTGGAAGGCTTCAAAGTCCCCGTGGAACCGCGGCTGTGTGCCAGAGCCAGGGCCGCTCCCTGAAGGAGTGGGGCGTTCACATCTTTTACATTTTAAGTACTTTTCAATAGGCGGACCAAGGAAGAGAATTTTACCTTCTTTGAAAGGAATAGCAGGTGTTCAGGGACTGACGTGTTTTCTGATTTTGTGGGTCTCTTCGTCGGCTAGATGGGCCGTTGAGACATACTCTCAGTACGTTGGGAGACGTAGTCGTTAGGGAGCCGGCAGGTTGAGTCTCGGCCTCCCATCCCTGCAGGAAGCTACTGGGGAATCAGGAAACGGATTGCTGAGTATCTTCTGAAGGCAGTCACTTCCTCCGTCTGCTGCCTCCGCTGCCGGCCCGGGCGCCGCTGCAGCCAGCTCACCTGTCCCCTGCTCCGTCCCCCACGTAGGCCGTTTCACGTCCTGGGCAGCTTCCGGCAGCTCGTCACACCCTGGGACTGCAGAGCCTCCCGGGCCTCCCGCCGGCCTGGCCCCTGGCGCCCTCTGCCCTCTCACCTGCCCTCGCTCAGGCGCCCGCGGGTGCGGGAGGCTGCTTCTGCCGCAGGCCCTTACCTGTCCTTGCCGAAGGCTCTCCCTCCGGGGTCCCGGTCTGTCCCACACTTCACTCCCGGCCACGACTGACGGTGGGCGCCTCAGAGAGCCCCCCGGGGAACCCTGCCGCCGGCTCTGCTTGGCCTCCCGTTCCTGCGCCTCCTGCTGCCTGCTGGGCGGCGCCCTCCGTCCATCTCCAGCACGAGCCTCCCTGCCACCGCTGAACTCGCCGAGGCCAGGACTTCTGCCTCGGCCGCCAGTGTCTAGCCAGCACATGTGCCCCAAAGTACTGCCGGGCCCTGACCCGCGTGGCTCAGTGGGTGGGGCATCATCCGGAAGAGCGGAGGGTCCCCGGCCATGACACACGCGTGGGTTGTGGCCTGGTCCCCGGTTGGGGTGTGCGCGGGAAGCATCTGATCGCTGTTTCTCTCCCTTCCTTCCCCCATCTAAAAATAAATAAATGAAATCTCACACACACACACACACACACACACACACACACACACACACACAAAAGTACTGTTGGTGTTTTGTGCCCCAAATGAGACCCCTGAGGCTGGTTGTGAGGCTGTAGTGCCCTTTCAGAAGGGAGCCTGGCCCCGGCTGAACGCAGGAGTGGGGGGTGCGGCCTTGCTCCGCCACCCCCTGCGCTCGCGTCCGGTGGCGGCCACGGGTCTCAGCCCGGGGCAGGCGACAGCCCTCTCCGGGCGCACGCCCCAGTTGTTTCCTCTCTCGGCTCCTCCACACACAGGCTGCGGCGCCCCCAGGGCTGCATGTAGCTTATCAAACTGGCATTTTCATTTCCTTTGGATGAATACCCAGAAGGGGAATCGCTGGGTCATATGGTAGTTTTATTTTTAATTTTTTGAGGACCCTCCATGCGGGCTTCCACAGTGGCTGCACCAGGCCGCACCCCCACCCACATGCGGGAGGGCTCCCTTTCCTCCCCATCCTCGCCTACGCTTGTTCGATGGTTTGTTGACGGCAGCCATCCTGACAGGGGTGAGGTGGTAGCTCATTGTGGTTTTAATTTACGTCTCTCTGATGACTAGTGACGTTGAGCATCTTTTCCTATGCCTGTGGGCGGCTCTATGTCCTCTTTGGAAATATGTTCAAGACTCCTGCCCATTTTTCAATCATGTTTTGTTTTTGACATTAGGATGTGTAAACTGTGAATTTAAAAAAAGGAGGGTGGGGAATAAAAAATAATGTGTGAACTCTTCATATATTTTTAACCATAACCTCTTATTGGATGTACGAGTTTAGCTAAATGAAATACGTCAGAGAAAGACAAATGTAGTTTGATTGCACTTACGTGTAGGATCTAAAACACTATACACAGACTCATAGATACAGGAAACAAACGTGGTTACCAGACAGGAGAGTGGTTCGGGGGTGGGCAAGATAGGAGAAGGGATCAAGAGCTCCAGACGTCCAGTTATAGAAGTCACGGGGGTGTAAAGGACATAAAGGACAGCACAGAGAATACATTCAGTGACACTGTAGCACCTTGGCAGGGTGACAGGTGGTAGCTGGACTCAGGCCACTACTTGGGCGCTGTAGTTAGGCAGCGCCCCCAGCAGGGGGCGGTAGAGCCTGGGCTATAGTCAGAGCAACGCCAGTCTTCGGTTTTAGTCGGTGCCTTTCATTTCGCGCAGAACCAAAAAGGGCAGTTTGGCTAGTAGCCATTGCTTTTTTAAAATAAATTAAGTTGAAGTGAGCCTTCCATGAGAATTAGCCCCTGATTGTGAATGAAATGATTTTTAACCTTTAATAGGTACCTTAGTTTTGAATATTAAAGGTTAGGGTGGGATGAGAGTTTTTAAAAATGCTGTTGGTAGTTTTCAAACGATGTGGAGGACGGCAAGGAATTAATTTTTTTAAAAAAATGAGTAAGTATCAAAGTGTCTTCCAACGGGGATAGAGTGGCAGCTTTAATGCGGGCCATGAGCAGCCCTTTTAACCTTCGCTGCGACAAAACCACCAGAAACTCATCTTCTTCCGACCCCGAGCTGCGTGACCGCGCGGGGCGCGCACCTGGCAGGACGGCAGGGACTGGGAGAGGCCGCCCTGAGGCCTCCGTGCCTCGACGCAAAAGGCGACACTCCCGCGCGATGGCGGCCCGTCGGTGAGCCGAGATGCATCTCGCTTTATAACCCCAGCACATTCATTTCACATATTCAGTCCTTAAAAATAAAATGCGACCCCTCCTGCTGCTGCTGAAATGAGCAAGCCCAACGCGCAGGTGGCTGCTCTTGCAGGTCGCGAGACGGACTGCGTTTTCCTCTCGGCTGCGTTCCAAGCCCACGTTTTATTTCAAGGGACAAGCTGTGCGTCGGAGCGCGCTTCTCAAACCTGAACATAGCAGGATTTATCCGAGTTACCGAACTACCGGGGGAGCTTGTCACTCTCCGGGCTTGCGTTCAATAACTGGGCTGGCCCCCAAGACCTGCGCTTTGTAACAGGCTCCGACGCCTGCGGGCCTCGGCCAGGAGCGGAGCGTGGCACCAGGCGCGGAGCGGTGCGGGCCGTCGGCACCTGGGCGCCCCGCCCGCGGCCGGAGCGGTTAGATCGCCTCCGCCTGTGAGTTCGGAGCGCGTCCTGAAGCGCAGTGAGCGGGTGAGATAAACGGAGCGAAATGCGCGAGCCGTAAGATTAAAAAAATCCCAATTGAGGAGCATCATTTCCAAGACGCTTTTAATGCTAGTCAGGAGTGTGGTGTGGGAAGAGGGGCTCACAATTCAATAATGCTTTTCTGGCCGAGCCCCACGCTTTAATAGGAGGAAGGCCCCGTCAGTAGTAACGCTGACTTCTCCGGTTTGATTTGTGTCCCTCAGAAATCCAGTGAATCCCGCAGCTTTATGTACAAACACGCATACATTCGTTTTCATATTTTTGGTTGAGAGAAAAAACAAAAACTAGTTAATCAAAGACAATATACTTATTACATCTTAACAAAGATTTACACATTAGGTGTGAAAGAAAATACCCAGGACAATTTCTTTTAAAAATATACAATTATAATATAGTCGTGCAATATATATACATTTATATAGACTTTATCTTCCAAAATAAATCAGGCACATAGGACACCACCTTCTTATATTTACATCATGGCTACATTTTCATCCTTTAAGGTTCAAAGTACTTTACATTTTTATGTATTTCAAACTTTACCCCCATGTTTATGTTTACCTCTAGGTGGTCAGTCTTTCAAATCGATTAAAATGGGTCTGTGTCACTACACATGACAGGCATCGCCCTAAAGAGCTGTGTGTACAAGTATGTTCTGCGTGCAAACTGAAATGTTCAGTGTGGACCAGGGAGATTACTTTGAGGAATCCTGGTTCCCGCTGGATGATGCCAATTTATGAGGTTTTCCTACATTAAGTTATAGCTGTATATGAAATAAATACAGTATAAAATTATACCCCTTGTACTAATGTTTAGAGTAATCACTCCTGTGATTATGATCAATTGGTTTTTGTTTTCTTCACTCTTCGCAGTTCATAGGTAACTTGGGCTATTTTATGAAAAGAACACTGCCAGCTAGAAAACCTTTGTCAGAAGTTCTCAGTTTGCTGCGACAATGAGCAACGTCAGCGTCCCATCTCTACAGTTTGTCCCCAAACCGTGTTCTACGGCGCGTGGGGCAGCTCCACGCGAGGAAGCTGCGCCCGTGTCCCGCCGGCAGCTCTGGGCCGAGCGCCGTTTAGGAAGCGGACACTCGAGAAGGGCATCTCTGGAGCCCCACGCTCTACTTAGTTTCAAAACAAAAGCGTGGCGAAATAGGAATGCAAAACTTTTTAAACAATTTAAAAACCGTCTTTGATGACTATCCCCTTCTGCCCAAAGTGCTGGGGAAATACTCTATTGATCCCAGCAGCCTCGGCCTCACACCGGCGCTCTGACGGGGAAGTTGTGCACTTCGACCTCTGGCTCTCGGCGAGGCGGGTCTCGGTCGGGGCGGTTTTGCCTTTGACACAAGGCCTGGGGGCAGTTTTTGACTGTCCGGCTGGGGAGGGAGGGCCCCAGCGTGGGGCGGGCAGAGGCCGCACCGTTGCTACACCCCTCCCCCATCCCCCCCAACCCCGCAAGGCGCGGGATGGCCCGCAAGAAGGAACCACCAGCCCCACCCACCCACCCACCATCAGCAGGGCCTGGGCTCGGTGAGAGGTGGCGCGAGAGAAGGGTCACCCTTGCTGCGCCTGCTGGAATCACGCCGCTCCGCGGAAAGGCGCGCAGGCGGGCGACCTGACCCGGGCTTGCCCACGCGCCCGGCCGCGGGGCAGGCGTGACCGGCTGCCGCCTGGGCTTTTTCCAAGAAGGCCGGGCCGGTCACCTGCTTCTTGGCACAGCACATTGCTACAGAATTCGCACGGTTTAGTAACTCTTCTTTATCAGCTTAATGACCAGTGTCTCCCCCGCCCCCCATTTTTTTTTAATAAACCTTTAATTGCAATGAAACAAGAGGTTTAATCCAACCTGCTGTTAGAAAAGCTTGGCTCTAGCACCTCCCCCTGGAAAACACCATGCTGTGTTTGCTGAAGCCCCTGGTATTCTGGGGCTGTTCTTCTTTACTTTGGCCAATACAAAAATAAATGACGGAGCCGTGCGCGGATGTGCGCTGCGAACGCACGGGCCGGGCCGGAGGGCGTGGGGCCGGCGCATCCAGGCGCGCACCTGCGGCCCCTGCCTTCTTTTCAAAGTGAGACCCTGGGTCCAGCCTGTTGGGGTTGTAAGACGCCCAGACCCTGGACTCGGAGGGCTAAGAGCGCCCGACGCCGCCTTCTCAGCTCACCAGGAGGACACTGAAGTCCACAGAGGTGACAGAGCTTGTCCAAAGCTTCCGTTCTGCAGCCGGGCCTGGCGCTGACCCCGCGGCTTTGCCCACGCCCTTCTCCCCAGGCCCGCCCCGCGAGAACGTGTGCGCCCTGAACCAGGAAAGGAGGCACGGCCGAGGAATGGGGGGTGGGGCGTCGCCACGGGGCGCTTGTTTACCTGGGGATGCGTGGACCTCATCCCCATCCGACCAAGGGGGAGCCCCAGGAGCGGGGGGCCGACAACCTAGCTCGTGAGCAAACGTGCCCTAGTGACAGCAGCCGCTGTGGGGGTTAGGTCCCCCAGAAGGGGACAGGCACAGGGGGCGCTCCTGCTAGTTCAGTGGCGCCCGATCTTGCTCTCTACCTCCTCGCAAAGTCCCGAGGTGACGCTGCACTTTGCCTGCTTCACGCCGGCTGACATTCCAATGGCTAGAAATCCTCTCCGGCTTGTAGCTCTTGCTTGTTTAGCAGGAAATGAAAATTGCCCCCCCCCCCAAAGTTCCCCGAGGGTGTGAGTCGCACAGACGGCTTCTCCTCCTCACCCCCGAGGCAGGGCCGCTGCCGGAGGGGGGCGGCTATTTGGACGCAGGTGGAGGAAGGTGAGCCACCTCTGGAGTGCGGGCAGCCTCGCGGGCTTCCAGCAGACGCGGCTCCCGGGGTTCAGTGTGGAAGGTGGCGACATGCCAAAGATGTTACCCCTCTTTTAAAGATTTACGAGGTCCCAGCCAGCCAGCCAACGGCGCGAGCCCTCAGGAGAAAGGAAGCCTCCTACTTCTTCATCTGACACCGGCTGGCGCTGCTCCTACGGGCAGGACCGCGCCAGACGCGTGGCCACAGCGGTCTGTGCTTCGGCCTCTAACCTGCTCCGCCCGCTGAGCTGGAGGCGCCCCCTGCAGGAGGCCGCTGCCGTTGTTGCAGGTTTTCCTCAGTGCATCGCAGCAGGCGAGGCCCGAGGGCAGGCAGCCAAGTTTATCAACACAAATTTCCTGTAAACTCTGTGTCAGCTCCAGGTGAGCAGCACAGGTTGAAGACTGTTGGGTCCCCCCATCCCAACACCGCCCCCCCTGGCCAAATATCAATATTCAAGCAATTACATATCTACCCCAAATACTCCTTTTTTTGTGGCTGTTTAAAAACAATCATTGTACACAATTGGGTTTTCTCTCCCTCAAAAAAAAATTTAAGAAAGGTTACATTTTTTTTTAAGTCACATCATGTTTGGAAGCATTTCCCCTTTCCAACACAGTGCATGTTATAATGTAAACTCTGGACCAGCCAGATAAAGATCACTTTTCCATATAAAATAACCCCCACCCCCACCTCCAGTTTCTTTTTTCCAAACTGACCTGCAGTTTTCTTAAAATAAAATATCAGGCTAGTTCATCAATTACATTGCAAAACAGTGGGATTTAAAAAAAAATCCAGGCCAACAGCAGACCCCAGCTGGGCAGCTGCCTGGTCCATGGCAGGTTCACGGTGGTTGCTCAGCTGCTGAGTTCGGTGGTCTCGTCAACCTCGTCTGGATTTTTGGTCATTTTTTCATATTTTCTTTTGAAGAAGCCGAGCTGTGGGACAATGATATAACAGTGTTACCACCTATGGCTTATTCTGGGTGGGGCCTTGGACCCCCTTTGCTGCCACTAGCCCTGAAGCGGGAGCCACCAGGGCCCAGGATGCGGTGGTGTGCAGACGGACCAGGTGTCAGCCCTTCAGGGAGGGAGTCCGTTCCCGAGAGCTGAGCTGAATTGCAGCAAGTTTAATTTTTCAGGCTGTAGTTATCTGCGATTGAATGAAACATTCAGGGATGTGGATAAAAGGAAGGCTGAGGGGAAAAAGGGCATGGACAAGACCAAGGAGCTAAAACCCTTCCTCAGTGTTTTCGAGGACGTGAGCGAGACTTTGCATGTAACGTGCACAGCCTTTCCTCTTATGATGGGGGAAGGACCGCATAAAACTGAAGGTTGCTGTTCGATCAGGAAATTCAAGGTCCTCAGGAGCCCCATATTTTTAGATTCGAAACTTTTCTTACCTTCCATAACACCGCAACCAGAGCTAAGAGCAGCAGGATCCCAGCGATTATACTTCCTACGATCACTCCGACTGGCACCTCGGCTTTCTCATGGGGTTTCATTATTGTGATGGGGATCTGCAAATGCGTACACACAACAGCTGAGTTAACCAGTTCCAGCACCAAAAAAAAAGATGGTCTCATCCAATTCTCCAATTTGATACATGACAGGCGCATGACCTGTTCAGGATTGTGTTCTTCAATTAAACATGGTGCAGGACAACTTCTAGAGAAAATGCTCCTGCAAAGTACAGGCAAAGAATACACGTTTTCTGGCTTCCTCCTTTTAACTGCATCAGTATGTAGCAGATGTGCCCTCTCCGATGTGTTAATTGTTTATGAAATAACGATTTCACTTTCTTGCATACAGTTCCATCATCAAGTGAAGCTTTTGGAGCCCAGTCTTGGGGAGGGGAGTCAATGGCCTGTGATTAAACTGCAAAAAAACAACTTGGAAGTGGGTTCCTAAAACGTTGATTGCATTTAACTCCCACTCAAGCTTATTTGATATGGACTGTTAAAAAATAGAAGTAATATCTCAGGGCTCAGATTGCCCTTTCCAGCAGTGAGATTGTCCTTGAGGCTCCCTATGATTCTTTATGTCCGCTTCATGGCGATCTTTGTGACTTTGTAAGAGAACGACTAGCCTTTGAGTCTTAACAGTAAGACTGTAGAGTCTTTTTTTTTTTTTAATTGAGAGAGAATCACAACCACTTCCTCCACAAAGTCCTGAGTTGGCCAAAAAGTCTATATGGTTTTTTCCCATAAAACAAAAGACCCATTTTTCATTTTCACCAAAAACTTTATTGATTTGGATATTTTGAGTAGGTCAGCTATCTCCTGTGTGGTAGAACATGGACTGTTCTCAATTAGTGTCTCGATTTGATCGCTATCAACTTCAACTGGTCTACCAACCGTGGAGCATCGTCAGCAAGAAATCCCTAGCAGAAAACTTCACAAACCACTTTTGACACGTTTGATCACTCACAGCACCTTCTCCATACATGGCACAGATCTTTTCTTTGCATTTCAGTTACGTTTTTACCTTTCTTGAAATAATAAAGCATAATATGCCAAAAATGTTGCTACTTTTCTTCCACCTTTAACATTAAGATAGTTAGACACAAAATCACCAATTTTGGTAAATTTTTTTAAATGCACGTTGATAGGACAGCTATCACGTACAATCTACCAAAATTGTTTTGAATGAAGTTAAAGACCACTGAGCGCTACTAGAGCCATTGTGCAGAACAAAACAAACTTTTTGGCCAACCCAGCATATTCTCAGAGAGCTAGGAGGGGACAGAGCCTAACTTATTTACTTGGTTAAACCCTGAATGGCGGGGGCAGAGAGTTGCTTTTCAGCACAGAGCTGATGAGTCGGGCTAAACGCGAATCTGGCCTTTCAGGGACTGTGTTTCTTTTCATTAGTATCTTCAAGAGCTAAAATCGGGCTTTATGAGTCTAAGAATGCATTAACTCCAAGTTCACGTGGTCCACCGCTGCCTGGCCATCATGCCTCTACTTCTCCCCGTTCCAGAGCTCCCCAGTCTGGGTCCCTGACTTGACAGGGATCCATGAGAATGAAGTTTCTGTATCAGGTTTTTGAATGGGCCTGGGATTCAAATACATTTGAGTCACACAGTTACCTGTAGGGACATGTCAATTTATTATTTGGATTCCAAATGTTATGTAAAAATGTACCTAGTTTTTATTTGGATGCAAATACTATTTTCACAGACACAACAAAGTAAGAGTTGGCCTCTGTTATTTTTCGGTATTGCTCAGAGAAAACCAGGAAAAGAAAAGTTTCCTAAAGGGCTCATTAAAATAGTTCATTTGAATTTTCAATTAGTACATTTGTTTAAAACTGCTTTAAAAAACAAAAGAAAGAAAGGAAACTTCAGCAGAAGTCTAGGCATTTTCTGAACACTGCATTTTTCCGAAGCGAACTTTAAAAATGTCTATGGTGCTCCCCCTTGAACCGCCCCACCCCCAGTCTAAGGTCATAGCACTTTGAACTTGAAGATGATATTTCCTTTGCTTCTATTTCTGATTTTCCACGCCCCACCCTCCGCCTCTGCAGAGGCCGGGGGGTGGGTCCTCGGTGGAGGGTCCAGAGACAGAAGCGCATCCTCTGTGGCTGGCACTCCTTTCCCTGGGATGGGAGGGGACAGCTGTGCTGTGGACGCCCCTCAGGGAGGGAGGCAGGGCTAGGTTTGGTGACAGGCCCAGAGCTCACAGGCCGCAGGCCCTGCACCCACGTTCACGGGCTGCGGCAGGGCACCGAGGCCGCACTGGCCTTGGGGGAGAGACTGGAACTGCCTTCCAATTTCTAACAAAAGCTCTGGAGGGAAATGCTCGGGCATGTGCCAGCAGAGCTGGGCACGGCCCCCGCTGTATCTGAACGGAGCGCAGTCTAACCAGAGCTCGTGGGCAAAGGAAGCCTGCTCCGGGCCAGCTCTTAGAACAGGGAGCCTTTGTTTGCACCGAAAGTGCATTTCTTTGCAAGACTTTTTTTTTTTTTTAAATCAAGGGGAGCATTTATAGTTTTCTAGACTGTCAGACCTCATGAATGGACATTTCACTCAGTGTCAGTAAGAAGGAATACTGTGAAAAAAGAAAAAGAAGCCCTCTACTAAATGCCTTCTTTATTACGCATACTTCAACATTTCTCTCCAAAACATTCTCTAACAGATGCTCCCGATGGGCAAGACTGGGATTTTCGGAGCTAAGGCCTGGACGCGTCCGAGTGGGCGGGCGGGGAAAGGAGGCCTGGAGGTGCTGGTCCTGGCGCGAGAAGCCGGCCGCAGGGATGGGGGTCCACGGGCTGTGCCGTGCATAGGACCCTCCTTCTGACCCAGCTTTGCCCACGTGGGGGCGGGGAGGCGGGCAAGGAGCAAACGCCCTGGCCCACAGCTCAGCGTAGGGAACAGCCGGCACTGGGCACTGTGCAAGGCCGCCCTGCGTGCCTGCAGGAGAGAGGCAGCCCTGCTCCAGGTTTTCAGAAATGGCCCCGGGGCCCTCAGGGGCGGAAGCGCTCACCGTGACGGCGTTGTCCTCGATCACGTACACCTGCGGGTTGTAGGTGTCGATTTCCGCAGAGGCCGTCAGCTGTACCGTCTGAAAAGTCGCCTGGAACGCAGGGCAAACACAACATGTCACCCCAGCAGAGACTCAGGCAGGACGCTTGTTGCATTTAGTAAATTAATTTACTTTTATCAATTTCCCCATGAAAAGTAACAGGAGCAAATGCCAATCTGAAGACGCAGGACACTCAGCGTCCGGGCCCGGGGACAGGGGACAGGCCACCTGGGGACAGGGGACAGCCTGGGGACCTCCACGGGTGGGTGGCAGGCAGGAACGGCAAACGAACCCCAGACTCGGGGAGTCCAGTCCCCCCGTCTCTCCCGGTGAGTCTGGCTGCAAACAGGGCCGCAGAACAGGGTTTGGAAGTGGAGTTTTTAATGCAGTGGGAGGTCAGAAGAAAAATGGAAGAGAACGGTCCTTCTCGCGCACACATGTGTGACACAGTACTGCTCGAAGGGAAGGTACACTTGAGCTCGGCCACGCCCGTCCATAGCAGACACCCCGAACTTGTGTCATGCTGTGCGACATGGCTCTTCATCTCAGATTTCCTAATCTGAGCCTTTCTACCGAAAATACAGGATTTGGGGCAGACATATAGGAACTAGCACATTCATTTTAGGCTGATGTTTCCAGTGACCTGACAAGAAATCATGCAGCATGCATTCCTGGACCTGCTGTAGAGAAATAAAGCTCTTTCTCACTGGCTGCATTACTGATGTGGGTATTCTTTATGATGCAAACATGGGCCTGAGGCGCCCAGGTCTGGGAACGGCCGCCATGCGTGCTGGCTATGAGGACGCGGCGCTCCTGGTTCCTAGGGCACGGGACGCAATGTGCTCCATGAGCCGATGTGCTCAACTCTGGGAGCCAGAAGAAGAGGGTGCACACCCAAAAACAGAGCAATACATTTCCTTTCCAATCGCTCAGTCTCTGATTGGTCTGTTTCATTTTCTCAGCATGGAAGATCGCATCAGAAATTAACCTTGATCCCTAGTCTCTGAAGCATATTTTATCAGGGGAGCATCAAGGGTAAGATGGCCAGGTAGCTCAGTGGGTTAGAGCGCCATCCTGATTAGTCGAGGTGGGGGGTTTGATCTCTAGTCAGTGTGCATACGAGAAGAAACCCACGAATGCATCAGTAAGTGGAAAAACAGATCGATGTTTCTCCCCCTCTCTTTAAAAATCAATTTAAAAAAGGGTATTGATAATGGCTTAATTAAATAAAAACAGTGAAGTGGATGCTGGTTCCATAGTCCCTATTGACTAGCGATGAAAGAATCTCCTTACAGCGCTGACCATCGGCCTCCCACGTCAGGCCCCTGCACAAGGACCCAGAGCCCTCGGCAGCGCGAACGAGCTGCGGCAGGCGTGTGCGCCGTGAACACTCGAGACCCGCGTTCAGCAAGGGCGTGCGTGCACGTGGCAGCCGACGGTGCTATCCGTCTGGAGGCCCGCGCGTGGCCGTCACTTGGCAATGGAATTCCTTGTCATGGTACCCCGATTTGCAGCGCATCAGGGGCAGAGGGGAGGGCAGGACCCTAATGGGTCTGAAACAGGAAACGAGACCCACATGTAAACGGAGAGCAGCCCCTTTGCCACTGAAATAGCGGCCAACAGGGGGGTGCACCTCTGACCTTCGACCCAGAGACGCGCAGGGGCTGACCACGGGCGTGAACCATCGGGCGGTTTCTCAGTTTAACCATCGTAACCACGGCGAAGAAGCCTCGATGCTACGCTTCTTCAGAACTTTGTTCCCAGAAATGAAATGGCTTTTTTTTTTTTCCTGAAAACCTTTGGACACAGGTCCCAAGTCCGACACTTAAAATGATGCAGCTTTAGATAAACTCAGGAAAAACCCAATGCATGTTACAGAGCCGCCTGATTGCATCAGATTTGCAGCAGCTGGGTCCCTTCCCAGCCAGCGACGGCTGCTGCTATGGAAACGTGGGCCCCTCACATCCCGGAAGCCCAGAGCCAGCTGGTGAAGCTGGGCGCCCAACTGCAGCAGCTGGGCCAGCAGCAGCGCGCAGGGCAGGGGTCTGGGGCCCTGGGGCCCGAGAGCAAACGCAACCGACGAGAAAGAGAAATAAAAGGGAAGCAGCCCCCGCTTCTCTCCACCCACCCCCGCTTCCCTCTTCGTCCCCGCTTTTCACCGTTCCTCTTTCTATGATGTCTTTACCCAAGGCTATTGCTCATATTTTGGTTCTAGGGACAAGATTTTCGGGTGCTTAGTTCTCTCATCAGACACAAAATGCCATAGCAGGGCGTGGGTTTGTTGGCGAGACCATGGCATGGCTAGAAAACAGGGAGTCGAGGCCAGTGGGTAAGCACCTTCAGGACGGATTTGTTAAAAAAAAAAAAAAAAAAGAAAGAAAGAAAGAAAGAAAAAAGAAAAAAGAGAAAAACCTCCACCAAGAGCCACAAGGCCCTCTGGAGGCTTCAGACTAATTTCTGGTTTGCGGCCTCAGTCAGCCGCCTACAAGGTCCTGCTCCAGGAGCCCTGTCTTCCTTGTAGTTCTCATTCCAGACGCAAATTCTGGCTCCCAAACCTCTGCTGAAAGCAGGTATCACTCCGGTTGCACCTGCTGAGTGCAAAAACGCACTGACATTGCTTTGGTACTTCCTTCAAACTTTTTGTGAGGTTGCAATGACTTAAAGCCCTGTGCGCGCCCTGGGCTTCCTCCAGGGAAGGGGTGACCGGGGGAGTGAGCGGGTGCCTGCTCCTTGCGTTAGAGTCACCGCTGGGTGGCTCGACACCCACCCGGCAGGCAGAGCCCCAGGAGGAGGGCAGAGTTGTGTGTGCGCTGGGGTTGGGGCGCGGTGGGGAGGGGAGGAAGGCACGGGAGGGAGACAACGCAGGGGCCCTGCGACCGCAGAGGGCACCTGGCACGGTGCCCCGAGACGGGCGTGGGGGGCTGGCGGGGAGTTGGGGAAGCAGGTGCCTTGGGAGCACCGCAGTGGCGGGGGGCGGGGCCCGGCCAGGCTGGACAAGCTCTGGACGGAGAGGCGGCACCGGGCTTCCGGGGGTGACGCCGCTCTCGGTGAATGGGTGCCGCTGACATTGGCCAGAGGGTGGGAGCCCCTCCACACGGAGCCGGCCGGCGTGGGGCCACGCCCAGTAAATAAAAGCGACACTCACTGCGGCGAAAGTCCCGTTCCAGATCCTGGTGGACACGTTCAGGAAGTACTCGGCTTTCACCTGCGGGTCCCTCAGCCAGCAGGTGACGTTCTGGCAGGAGGCGCTCCTGCAGTTCTTCAGGGCGGGGTCGCGGGAGGGAAGAGCGAGGGTTAGTGTGGGCTTTGGAAAAGAAACGTCGCGCTCGTACAGAGGCGGGTGGGAAGGGCGAAGGGAAGCACACAAAGCTCACAACTATCAGCAGCCAGTGCTCTGCGCTGTGGCCGCCCCACCCCCGCTGGGCTGGGCCGCGCCGCCCCTCTGCCGCGCCCTTTCCCATCTGCTCGGAAGGCCGGGGGTGGGGGACGGCCGGGGTTGTGCAGGGGGAAGCCCCCCCGCCTCCGCTCAGTGACTACTTCCAACGGTGAACAACAACAACAGCAACAACTAGTAATTCCTGTGTATCGGGAATGTTCTAACTAAGCAAATTACTGAATGGACAGATACAGAAGGCAACACAACTTAGGCGTTAACATAATTGATAAAGATGCATTCCTTAGACTTCAGAGAAGTGGCCAGTAGAAGAATCAGTAGCCGCCGAGGGTCTGGGGAGGGAGGGGTCCCCAGGCGGAGCACCGAGGGTTTTAGGGCAGTGAAGCTGTTCTGTGTAACACTCTAATGCTGGACACGTGTCGTCATACATTTGCCCAAACCAGTAAAATCTACATCCCAAGAGCGAGCCCAGGGCCAGCTCTGGGCGTGGGGTGATTATGACGTCTCAAATGTGGGTCCGCCAGTTGAAACAAGGGTACCACTCTGGTGTGTGTGTGTGGCGGGGGGGAGGGGATTTTGATAGTGGGGGAGGCCGTGCCTATCGCGGGGGGGGGGGGGATTATAGAGGATTTCTGTATTTTCCAGTCAGTGTTGCTGGGCGCCTAAAACTGCTCTAAAAAATAAAGTCTATTTTTAAAGGCCCGCGGCACATCGGCCTATAAAAAGGGCGCACGGCCCGTTTATGAAGCAGTGCCCACCGGTCCCTCCCTCCACGTGGGCCGGTGCCGGCAGGGGCAGGGGCGGCCGCTGGCCGCCGAGCAGCCAGCTGGGACACGTCCGAAGAACTTCCGTTTCTCTCTCGTCGTTTTTACTGTCATGTTTGGGTTGTGTTGTTCCCACTTAGCGGTGGCCATTTTTACAAAATCAAAGCATTTCCACCAAAAGAAGGAAAATGCTGAGATGAGCTTCGACTGCAAATTTTTACATATTAGATTTCGACTATATTTATACTATAACTACTTTAAAAAGAAACTGTTTCATCCTCCTATTTTCCTCCATCCCCCATCCATCATGAAATAGAACCATTTAATCTAGGCTTGAGTGTGTGCTTCTACCCCTCGATTGGTACAGGCCGTCAAAGGCAAAATGGAAATCTGTGACCTGGGGCAGGGGGAGGGTGGGGACAGACAGGAAAGAAGGGCCTGGGTTTCCGGGCAAATCGAACGATGACGCCCCAAGGGAAGCTGTCACCGCATTAGCCCGTCCTCACCAATTCTTTTACGTGCCGGAAATTTTCACTCTTGAAAGACACAGGAGAAGACGTCTGTCCTATTTTCAGTGGATTTACTTCAGCATCACAACTGATGTCACCAGCCTACAAGAAAAGGACATCCGATCAGTCTGAGGAAGCAAAACAGTGTGTGCCTGCCGTTCCTCTCAGCCTGGGGGGAGGTCCCCGTGTCGCGTGTCGGGGCGGGGGCGGGGAGAGGGGGCCACGGGGCTGGCTTCACTGCTGGGCCGCCACCGTTCTGGCCATCACTCACGCAAACCTGGACGCACTCAGCTGGCTGCTGCTGGGTCTCACCGGGGATGAGACGCATTTGCAGCAACAACAGACCGTGAGCGATTTAGCTCAGGGTTCCCTCCTGCAGAACAGCTTAGGATTCTGACGTGAGGACCGGCTCAGTAGGCGCCGGAGGTCGGCGGGGCCGATGTCAGAGCAGGGCAGAGCCACGGGGGGCTTTAAAGACAAACACAGGTGCTCGACTACAGCCTCGGCTAGAGAGACGCCAGGTCCACGGCCTGGGGTGGGGCTGGGGGTGCCTGGGCACCATCGTTACCCAAAAAGCAGCCTCGGCCGTTGGCAGGAGCAGCCAGGCTAAGGGGGGCCGGCAGGAAGGCCAGGCCGGCAGCTCCAAGGCCAGCTGCTGACGGCGGCCTGCAGGCAACGCGCCTCCTGCGTGGGTTCAACCGCTCCCTCCCCAGCTCACGAAGTTCCCCACGGACAGGGCCCTGTGAAGCCGGCTCCGCCTGGCCAAGGCGGGGCTCCAGGACTCCTTGCTGCCATCTAGACACAGGCATTGGTTTTCGTGTAACAACACCCTGCTCCTCGCACGAAACCGACGCTTTGTGAATTGGCACTCAGGGCAGCAAGGGCTGCCTCCCCGCTTTCTCGTCTCCGAGCGTTGGACGAGGTCGCCCCCCGCCCGAGGGGGAGTTTCCGCGTGGCAAGAGCGCATCGTCCCAGGCAGCTCGTGGCCCTTACCTGGTCCACGTGGACGCCTGTGAGGTACAGCAGCGGGTTCTTCGCCTGCGTGTGCCGGGGGATGCGGATGGTGACGGACGCCATGGTTACCGGCATGCTCCCCATGGCCACCTGCAAGTACGGGGCAAACAGGCGGTTTTCTTTAATTGGAAAAATCTTACAGTTTGACCTGGTACATAATTTGTGGCTGAGGAGATGGTTAAAGGCATCCGCCATGGGCTGCCAGGGCACGGAGTCGCCCCCACACCGACGGGCAGCGTGGCGTGGGCAGGCCTCTGCAAGTCTCCTTTTTCCTGTAAATAAAGAAAATCGGCAGCTCGGGGCGAGGGGGGGGGTTGTTGACAGGAGGGCGTCCGTTCTCACCAGTGGGGAGCCCGTTCCCTTTGCCCAGTACTTGTGCCCTGAGAGTTGTTAAACATTTCATGTTTTGTCTTTGTTTTTTCAATTTACTGTGTATTGCATTTTTGTCCACGTTACCATTTACCCCCTTGTACCCTCCCCGCCGGGCACTCACCGCACTGAGCAATGCCCTGTCCTGTCCCTGTGTAACGCCCCGGGAGCAACAGTGCCACCAACCCCCTCGCTGCTCTGGGAAAACGCGGGTCAACACAGGCAGAGCACTGGATACAAAGGCTGATTCTTATTACCGCCGCTGTGACCGCTATTTTACTGTTACTACTGACGGACTAAACGTTGCATCAAAGAGGTAGTTGCCAAATACCGTGCATATTTTATAAATTCCAGTATCTGGATTACAAATCAAGGCTCTTTGAAAGATTTTTTATAAAAAAAATCACCCAGTTACACAGATGCAACCATTTAACAAACTAGTGAGAAAATGTACAGAAGTAAATTGTACAGACTCAGGGTGGTAGATGAACTTCCTTTTTGCTTTCCAAAGTTTCTGTAATTTATGTTGTAAACTAGTTACTTTTACATATTAATTTCTCTTTACATAATTGATAACAACCTTTAGATTATTAGTTGTATATAGGAATAGGCAATAACACTGATTTTAAAATATTTTAAGATGCTACGTAGCGTGACTACAGAATGCGTAGCTGTACACAAACAGAAAGCTTCTCAAATGGAAGCGGTCTCTAAGGCCGAATTGGCATACTAATTGTATTCCAGAGACTTTGGCCCCCACCAACATGCCATGGATTAACATTGAACATTTTCTTTCATAATATATCGGTTATCCCTCCTCGCCCAGGACACAGAACTATGCACAGAGCCCAGCACTTTATGTCTCTGGTCTCAGTGACTCTCCAAGTGCGGCCATGGGCCCACTGTCAGGGTCGCTGGGGACCTGTTACAAACGCGCACTTTGAGGCCACCCTACCTCAGGAGCTCTGAGGACAGAGCCCGGTGGCCTGTGCTCGAACAAGGACCCCCCCGCCACCCTCCGCAAGCTCACGCTGGCTCAAGTTTGAGAGCCGCCAGTATACGTCAACTTCTTTTTCCTTTCTTCTTCTCTTCCTGGCTTCGTGTTTTTCTTTCCCCTTCCTCCTGATTTCCCACCTTTATGACAGGAATACCAACCTTAATGGAGAAGATGAAGCTTGGACCAATATCTTCAAAATTGTGCACAACAGAAGGAACATTCCCATCTGAGGAGACTTCATAAAAATTTATGTTGGTAAACCTGTTGCAAAGCCAGATATTTTAGTTTTGCTGTTCTTCTTGAAACTTAGCATTTCCCTCACTTAAATGTCTCTAGCTTATGTTACAAGCAAAACAGTTTACATTCAGGTACAAAAGCACAAAATGAAAACACATGCTTATTATGGGCCTAGGGGCCAGTGTCCATCTCTAAGGCTAAATCAAATTCTTCTCAAAGCATGTCCCTTCCTGGTCTTTCTGCTGAGAATCTCTGCGCTGTATGTTGATCACTTGTAAAGTTCCTAAAATAAGTACAATTGTATTACTTTAGAGCTGATAGTGGACCTCCTACCAGATGCCGTTACCCTGACTGGGGTGTTAACAGAGCAGACGGTTGGTCCGTGTGGAGCGGACGATCGGATTCACCAGCCAGAGGGTTTCCCGCTGGGCACGGCTGAGGCGCAGGGACAGGGCGCTGGGCAGCGCTCCGGCCTCGTCGGTACGGGACGCCTGTGAGTCAGGACGTACACCTTTCCTTACGATTCCTCCCCCAACCTTCTCTGGTTCCGAAACAACTCTAGTGCGTCAGGGCTGAATTGGGTTGGTCCGTCTGTTTCCATCAGCACAGAGACCACCCTCTAATGGCCGACCCGGGGGTTTTATGAGACGAGACCTAGAGGCAATGGAGCGATTTGATCTCTTTGCTGGGGATTGCCGACTGGGGTGCGCAAGTGCAGTGATGACCGGGTCGGGGGACCCTCACAGGGGCAGTCAGAGTGTCCCTTCTCACTCCTGGGGCTCTGCGGCTGGATGCCAGGGTGGCTTTGTTGGGGAAGAGGGCGAGGGTTGGGGCAGGAGACTGAGAAGCGACATTTATCCCCACCACGTAATCTATCATAATTATAGGATGTTGATTATATGCCCCCCCCGCAAATTAGGACATTTTCTGAGATAGAGGTATTTGATTTCTTTACTTCGTTTTTCTTCTTTAGTCCCCGTTAGGAAAAAACACTTTTCCAAAGTCTCAAAAGGAAAATACATCCTAGGGAGTCTTAACTAGATGTGGTGTTTGCCAAGGTCCTGGTCGAGGGAGGAACGAGGACCTGCGAGCCCCCGTGGACGGGGGCAGCCGCCGGGGCCGTGACCCAGAAAGCTGGCTGCCGGTGCGGGGGTCCTCCTAGTCTCCGGGGGTCTTTCTGGGGCCTCTGAGGACACCCATTTCTAAGCTCATTGATAGCCCTGCTTTTGCATTTTGAAGAGACCCAAGATTTGTCCGTGTGTTACTTAAGTTTTCCTTAAGTCTCTGTAGTGTCGGTCAATGTATTTTTAATAGCAGTCAGCTATACTGGGGGGTTTCTGTGTGAGAAATAAGTCCCCTGTCGTCCACGCCCACCCGTCCCTTTGGCGCAGTACAGCGGCACAGTTATGCGGCATCAGAGCGGGTGCTTCACAGTCATGCTCAGTAATTGGGGAGGACATTTTTTTCAAAAAGCTTGCAAAAGTGTTTGTTTAAAAATGTCTCCCCCCCCCAGCATTGCTTGTGATGATTAAACAAAACAAAATAAAACTGGAAAACATCCAAATATCTCATTACTGTTAAATTGATTCCATCAGTTATAATCTAGCCAGGAATAGGACACGTTAGACCTGTATTTCCTGATATAAATTTCTTTAGGATTACAGAAAAAGCAAGGCACAGGAAAGTTTTATCATTCCATTTGGGTAAATACGTGTGTGTGTGTGTGTGTGTGTGTGTGTGAGAGAGAGAGAGAGAGAGAGAGAGAGAGAGAGACATTTATCCTGGAGGAAAAACAAACCCCATGTCTGGAAGGTGTTCTTAAAACAGGCGAGTTAGTCATCTGCGGGGTGGGCATAAGAGGTTGGGAGGGATGAGTTCATTTTCCATTGTGTATCTTTCTCTAACGTTTGGATTTTCCATCCGTGTACATTTAATGTCTCTTTAAAAAAAAAAAGAAATCAAGACGCATTATCTGGGTGGTAGGATTAAGAGCCATGTTAGTTTTTTCTTCCTAATTCTTCATATTCATTTTTTAAACTGTATTATATTTTTAAAAGATGATCAGAATGTCTTAGAGTCCAACTCACCATCCCAAAAATACACAGCTAAGCTGTTAGTAGACTGAAGGACCCCTCAATCTTCTATTTGTCCTGCGGGAAAATACCTGAAACAATCGGTCGTGGCGGAGAGTGGAGTCATAAAACAGCTGTGTTAAGAAAAAGCATTTAAGGCCCTGGCCAGGTGGCTCGGTTGATTGGAGAGTCGCCCTGTGCACTGAAAGGTCATGGGTTTGATTCCCGGCCAGGGCGCGTGCCTGGGTAGCAGGCGTGGCCTGCTCAGGGGGCGTACAAGAGGCAACCAGCTGATGTTTCTCTCTCACATCCACGTTGCTGTCTCTCCTTCCCTCTCTCTAGTATCAATAAATGTGTCCTCGGGTGAGGATGTGAAAAAAAGAAAATCAGTATCAGGCTAGGGAGGAAGAAGAAACGGCAGGCAACGTGTCCCCTCCGCCTCCCCGGCGGCGGGTGTCGTCCGCTACCTCTCCAGCCGGGGAGGGGCGGCCGCAGTCTGCGGTTACTGATTAGTTTTTCAGGGATGACGACTTGGACTCCACTCTGTTTCTGCTTTTACTGTTTGCGACTCGCCTGATACAGAAGCATTCTTTTCCTCCTGCTCACACGTCCCGGGCTCTAGACAGTTTGCTTGTTGCTCTTGCTCCGGGGTCTGGGGGTGACTGCACGCCCCCTGCTTCTGGGGGCTGCAGAGATGTTGTGGGAGTCGGGGAGGTCCTGTCCCAGACACCTGGCGGCCTGGCTTCTCGGGAACATGCCGCTGCCCGTGGCCCACGGTCACTTATCTCTGCTGGGAGGCAGCCTCGCTAGGCACAGAACTCTGGTCCCAAGGCGCGGAGGTGGGTGTCCCTGTCGCTTGTGCCCCTACACAGCTGTGCCCCAGTGTGTCTGCTTCGCTTCTAAGAGGGAGTGAAGGTGATGATGTCAACCTGTTAGCTCCTGTGACGTTTACATGGTATTCATGTCTCAAGACACATGCCCCTCTGCGCAAGTCACAAACGGTGGTATCACCGGGCCCCACTCTGGGCCGCGATCTTGGGTTCTCCTGCTGGGGGCAGGCAAGCAAAGGGAGTGGGGTATTTCCTCGTGGGTGGCCTCCTTTGGGAAATGCCGCATTTCCTCTTGGTTGGAAGAAACTCTTTTGTCTGCTAGGTCAGGAGCTTTCTACCCAGAAATTATTATTATTTTTTTAATTAGATTCAGTATTTGTGGACCGACTACATGCAAAGCACTGCGCTAGGAACTTCAACGTCCAGGAATGGGGACATCCTTGGGGAGCCTGTGTGGTCAGGGAAAGGGGTCTGGAGAACGCGGCGGGGCTCTGGGGGCCCTTAGCTCCGCTTTGATTCCTGGAACAGCTGGCAGCCTGTCTGGGGACCTGGGGGGTCCCACTGGCCTGCACCAGAAGGGTTGTGCCCTGCTTTTCTGGTGTCATTCTGGTCCAAAACCCTGGAGTGGCTCGAGGCTCCCCCAGGGGCAGGTGGTCCCCAGACTTCTGTTTGAGTTGACAAGGGAAAAGCATTTTAATCCCCATTCCCCAGTTACGAAAGTGCGCCCAGAGGACTCGCTGCGCCCCGAGCCCGTGCCCGGCCCCGTGTGCCTTGGCGGCCGCAGGCTCCCACCTCGTTATGTGAATGTCGGCGTCGTACAGCAGCGGAATTCTGAAGCCGACCGCATTGTCTGCCGCGTTTTCTTCGTCGCTTTCGCTGTGGAAACAAACACCAGGAAATTACTCAGCGAGAAATACGAGCAAAGCCACCCATTTCGTACTTCCTTAGGCTTTACCTTGAGGCTTGGAAACTGACGGATGCCTGATTCTGAAGGTTTTGAAGATTGAAGTCGAAGTTGATAGTAAACGTCACCTGTACACAAAATTAAAATTCATCCATGTGTGATGCTCTTTGCTTGGGGACCGATGTGAAAAAAACAAGTTTCCCATGAAAACGAAGCCACTTCAGTCTAATTCAGAGTTTTATCTGCTGTAAGCCTCCGAATTCGTAGCTCCTGTGTTCACCTACCCACCTTCCTTCCTGCCCCACGTTCAGAATCGGAAGGACTTAGCTTTCAACTAACACCAGCAAGCGCCGCCATCTCAGGCGCGTGCCCCCGTCTGAATTTGGAGGTTTTGCGCTGACGTGGAATTTGCTCATCGGGGTCAGCCGAGGCTCCCTGGGGCCTGCTGTGCAGCACCCTGACCAAAGCTGGTCGATGCTTTCCGTATGGTGTGTGCATTTTGGTGGGGACGGCCAGGGGCGAGGTGGGGGGAGCATCTCACTTTTCTTAGTAACTTAAAGAAATATTTAGGTTTTAAACACTTCCTCTGAATAGGCAACCAGTCCTGCCATGACGCCTATGACGTGGTGGCACCTCACAAGGAGGAGGGCATGTTGGCGAACTTCCACCCGGGCTGAGGAGGGGCTGGCGCGGATCTGAGGAGGAAATGCAAGCTCTACCTGTTGCTCCCTCTTCAACGCAGGGTAGCCTATGTTGCAGGTTACAGTCTTCTGAGATGGAGCGACCTGGCACATGACTTCTGTCCCATCAACCTGGATGAGAGCAGGAAACAAGGAGCCATGAGCATATGACCTTTGCGTGCAGCCCAGCCACGCCGAAGGGTGCGCAAGCCACGCGGGCGCTTTAGCCGCAGAGGGGTTCACACTGAAGTGACCTACTGCCCCCCAGCACTTGGAAATCGTGCATTGTCCACTTGGCTGATATGCTATTTTATGGCTAAGCAGGACACCCAACAAGCCAAAGGATTTACTTTCCCCAGAAGTAAATCGTAGCTCTTATATTTCATAAGCACAAAATAACTGTAATTCAATATTCAGAAATGCTGTCTTTAATACCTTTCTCTTAATAGATTTGAAATTGGTAGTTTCATGAGAAGAAAACAAAAGCATACGTTGGCATTTGTTTATATTTTAAATAACCTAAAGACTCTTTTTCTAGTTTTCCTCTTTTTTTTTTCTCTTTAAAATAAAAAGTCATTTTGCGCAGAAAACTTAAACGCCGAAGTCGGAATAGGTTTAGGACACTGGATCTATTAAGTTCACGTTGACCTGAAGCCAGATGGAACCATCTCAGAATTCTTTCCTCAAGTAGGTAGCTCATTTGGAAAATCTTAGCCTTTCCCTCCTCGCCCTTTCATGGCGAGGTGGCCGAGCAGGGACCAGGGAGCCCTCATGGTCAAGTGTGCTCCTGGAATAGCGATCAAGTCGACACGATTAGGTGACCTCGCTGGAATGTGTCATCCTGGCAGCCGCCCCACGTGGCCGAGCTGCAGGACTCCAGCTTCCCGGAGCAAGTGCCGCTCGGGGCCTCTGAGCACCGCCCGGCGGCCCCAGCCCACAGGCGGCTGGGGGTTGCGCGAGGGCCTGGCCACAGCGGCGAGTCTCGGGGCCGAGGAAAACCGGCCGGCCGTGCGGCAGAACCGGCCTGGACACCGCGGCGGGCACGTCCTCGGGGGGCTGAACCCGCTGGGAGCCTCCGAGGTAGGACGGGCCATGCTGGTCGCGGTTACATGCTTCTCACGACCCGTGTCTGAGCGGGAGGAGGACGGTGACTGACGAGGGGCCCCGCGGGGCCCGGCTGGCGCCACCTACCGGCATGGACCAGGAAGCGAAAAACAAGTTCTCTGAAAACTCCACCACAAGCGCCGTGTTGTACGCGCTTTCCTTCTTGTTTTTCAGTGTCACCGAAAATGTCAACCTTTTGTTTTGGTTGCTGACAATAAAGGGTTGTTCCCTGTTAAAGAAGCAAAAAACGGGAAAAAAGGTCATTGAGGAGGGGAAAAGGGCCCCATATTCAAACACGGCACTCATTTCAAAAATAAACTCTTTAGATTTGTTTTGAATACTGAGAAAATTGCTTAATAAACTGTCTTCGTTGCAAAATGATACTGACAAGCGAGAAGAAGATGCTATGGGGTTTTCTTCGTAGCCTTTAATTACATTGCAGGAAAAGGAACCGTCCAAATACAGATAGTTTTATATTTCTTATTGTTTTACACCTACATGGATGGCAGAAATTGAAATTTAGATTTTAAAGGTCTTTATTAATTATGGCTATTTCTTTTGTAGAAAAAAAAAATCTCCGTAAACAGACTTGAGTAACACAATTGAATGTGCCTTTTATGTCTACGTTTTACACTGAACTTTATTTTTTTTTAAGACTTCAGTTACTTATTTTTAGAGAGTGGGGAAGGGAGGGGAAAAAAGAGGGAGAGAAACACCAGTCAGTTGCCGCACACGTGCCCCCAACTGGGGACCTGGCCCACAACCCAGGTCTGTGTCCTGGCCGGGAAACAAACCAGGGACCTTTATGTTCGCTGGATGACGCCCAACCCACTGAGCCACACCAGCCTTTAAAGGAAAACTTACTGAGCAGCCGGCACCTGTTGGACCTTGAGAACCAGGTCAGAGATGCAAACTCCGTCCTCGCCACAGTCTTTATGGAAAGGGACCTACGAGGGAGAACAACCCAGACACATGCATGTGAGGAAGCAAATTGTGGAAGGGTACATACAGCGTCATGCCATTTACACGAAGTTCAAAGCCATGCCAAATGAAACAGTGTCTTAGGCGTGTGTGCGCATTTAGCCATGGCAGAAAAAGCATCGATCAATGCAAAACTCAAGGTGATGATTTGCCTGGGGAGCAAGAGGAGCGTGGATCTGCGGGGGCGGGAAGTGAGGCAGCGAACTTCACAGGCACATACCTGTGGAGTGACATGTCATTGTTTAAGTGCGCGGTGAGCACAAGGCATTTGCTTTATTGATATTTATTGACACGTATTCTTTCAGAGGGCCCGACACTGCTCACCAGGCTTGGTGGGAACAGAGCAGTGACCCAGGGGGGCAAAATTCTCAGCCTCCGTGGAACTCATGTGCTGCACGCACGGAAGCAATTGTATTTCATTCATAAAATTAAGAACTTAAAGGCTATGTCCTCAGTGTCTGCCAAGAGGCCATACGGGGGAGCTTGGCAGGAGCGAACCCGAGGCAGGGCGCCCGCACTTACGCTGAAGACCTTGGCGGTCTCGGAGTAGGCTTCCAGGGCGGGGCTGGAGCCGGGGGTGGCCAGGCTGATGTCCACGCACAGGTCCAGGGGGCTGATAATGTCCGAGGGCTCCTACACACATGCGCACGCACATGTGCGCACACATGAACACAGAGGCAGGTGGTTAGCACACGGAGGCTTTAAAACAGGGGTGCCCAGCCTTTCGGCGCCTCTGGGCCACGCTGGAAAAAGAAGGCTTGTCTGGGGCCACACGTGAAGTACACTGCGCTCCATAATCACAGAAAAATCTCATCCTGTTTTAAGTAAATTGATGATTTTGGGTCGAGCCGCGTTCGCAGACATCCTGGGCTGCATGCGGCCCACGGGCCACAGTTTGGACATCCCTGATTTAAGGCGAGGAAATGACCACAGTCTGGTTGCAAATTTTCAAGACGCCGGCTTCTTCCCTTCTGCCCTAATTCTGCTCTTCGCCTCTCCACCACTAGGAAACCTAAAGGCTGGGGTTCAGTAAAAATCAGAAGCAGCAGTTCGTCGTCATTAAGCTCCTCAGCACCCTGTACAGTGGAGGATTAGAGACATTTAGAGGCTGTGTCCAGCTCTGAGGCTCAGAAGACCCCTGGGTCTGTGTCTGCCTCTCGGGGCATTGGCTCTGGCCTTTCCAGTCCTATCGCCAAGGCCTAGGCGTCCTTGGGGGTGCCGAGCGAACCTCTGCGGGGGAAGGCGATGGCCTTGCAGGGACGGCGCTCGGCGCTGGCTGGTGGGCGGCGGACAAGGGCTCCTTCCCTTAGTCAGGCCCTAACTCTGCTCCACAAGCCCCAAGCATGGGGGTGCGCAAACCCGGAAGCACACCCCCAAGCTTGCGGCTCCAGCCGGCTGTTGGGAGCTGCTCTCTCCTTGCACAGGTGAGATGATGCACGTCTCGGTCTGTCGTCACCACCACCCGGTACACCCTCTCCACCTGGCGTTTCGTGTGGGGGTCTGGGGCTGGCCGTGTTTCAGGGGCCCCTTGGTTTCTGAGGCACCCTGTCTCATGAAAAACGTAAAAATGCCCAAACGGGGTAGCGAGTGTCATCGAGCAGGCCCCTCACAAACATGCTCCCCGTCCTTGTCAAGAAAGAACAGTGCGCCAATGCTAGCGTCTGAGACCTGACTTTGCCTTTTCCTGAGAGGGGCGCAGGTGTCATCAGCCCTGCTCCCAGCAGGGATCGCTCCTGTCGCCAGCCCTTTGGAGGCCTGACTCAGGGACACACTTCCTCCCAGGCTCAGGACCGCACACAGGAGGGCGGACGTCAGTGGGGCAGGCGAGCGTGTGTGTTGGCCGGAACAGTGTCTCCTCGCCGACCCAAACGGCACGCAGCCCCTGCAAACTTCTCACGTGAGAGGGAACGGAGTCTCCCCTGCAACAACAGCCCAGCTGGCTCATTCCCCCACGAAGGGTGACATTCTTAATTTGACCCACCATTTAGCGCACAGATAGGAGAGAATGGAAACCAGCCTTTGTTCCTTTCAATGATCAATATAGTTGGCCCCTTAAGGATAAAAGAAGTCCAGGCCTTTCCAAATAAGAAACCTTTAACTTGAACAATACACAACTGATTTTGATGCATCTAAGCATCCATTTGATGTTTTCTCAGCTTCTTTACTTAACATCTCTTGAGACGTGCTCCCTGCATCATCCATCAGCAGTTGAAATACCTGGGGGTGCCCCCGAAATCTTGCATATTCCTTGGACCTTCAAACCCCAAATCTCTGGTGGTGAGGGCCCAGAATATGCATTTTATAAAAGTTTTCTTGGCAATTCTTATGCATCTTAAGCTCTCTGACAACCCCATTCTAGAAAAGTTCTTAAACAGCTCTTTCAAAAATGGTTTCCTGAGTAAATTACACTTTCAAATACCATTATGTGGTTTTTAGGGGGAACTATTCATCTAATTCATATAATAAATTTCCTGTTGGAAGTTATCTCCTGAAAAGCATTTTTCCTATTTGAGAGATTTTCAAAATCCATTTGAGTGAGAGTAATCATGGCCTAAGATTAGAGCAAATCATTTTGACCTGATACTCTACCATCCGCCACCTTTGTTAATGAAATCCAATTGTGGAAAAACACAATTGAAATCGTTGTTTCAGCACCTTAAAAATGACGACCATTTTTCTGTAATAGGAAAAATGTCAAAATAAAACTGAATGTCAACTTAAAGTTGTCCCTGTTAAATATCGAATAAAGCACCCTGGTCTCGATGTCGTTCGGAACCGTATATTTAGCCCTGTCTAGCATCCCCAATAAAACTTAATGCAACTAACTTGTTACTAATGGAATGTGACTACATATACAAGCAAAGGGACTATGTGTCCTGCTCCTGGAACAGAAAAGCTCTCATTATAACGACAAGCATTTTCTGACTCGTTAGTTTCCGCTTCTGATCGACCCCGGGGACCAGACTCAAGGAGGAATGCCAGGAAGGGGGACGCCGAGGCCTCACCTGCAGGTAGATGAGGAAGTCGGAGCACGTCTGTGCTGGGTGGACGACCAGGCTCTTCTGCAGGTCCCGCTCGTTGTTTTCCCTAAATAAGCCCCTGGAGGTGACTCTGGATGAGTACAGGTCTGCGTCTATGGTGACGTTGTATGTAATGGCTACGGTAAAAATCATTAAAATATGTCACTACATTTTTTTTCAAAGGAAAAAGCGACTCTGTCTTATTGTGTCTTATTGGGTGAAGGCTCAACAATGAGAAAATATAAAAATAGTCTTTCCACTTGACGGAGGGTGAGACGGGGACAGCCCATGACACCTGCGATTCTAACTCTGGTGACGTGCGTGGCTGTGGGTGTCAAGGCGTGTGATTCAAAGACTGGTGGCTGGGAGTGGCAGGGGAAGGACAAGTGGAGCTGTCCCCACCTGCCGAATGGAGCAGCCCAATCCCTCCCTCAAACCCCGGTTTCCAAACGTCATTCGTAACACGCTGGTGCAGAACGGAAGGAAACAGCTCTTGAGTGCCCACCGCGGAACACATTCTTATGTGTTACCTTGTTCAAGTTCTACGATAAACCGGGAAGGAGGTGTTATTATCCTATTTTTCAGACAGTGAACACAGTAAAAGAGGCACAATAATTCACCGTTGCTCACACAGCGAGGGCGTGAGCAGAAATAAAATGTGCGTAGTTCGGACGCCAGAGCGCATGTTCTGGCTGTCCCCCTGCGGGTGTGAGGGTTCGGGGCTCACACCCGGTGCCGCGGGTGTGAGATGCTCCGAGGGGACTGGTGCAGCGTGGGGCATGTTCAGACGCTCCCGTGGGGAAAGGCATGCGCCTGGTGCAGGGAGTGAGGGTTTGACGAGGCAGACTTGGCTTGCGTCCTCATTCCACTCTTACGCGCTGTATGACTGCAGGCGCTGTGTGAGGCCTCTTTGACCCTCCACTGCCTCAGCAATGGAACAAGTAATGCCACTAACCCAGGGGAGAGGAAATGAAAACACACGTGATAAAAGCTGATGTCGGAAGCCAGGGTCTAAACTGCCGTCGGCGGAAGCCTGCTAACTGCACGCCTACAATCAAGAGAGATCGGACACTGTTCAGGGCAGCAACTGGGGTTACTCTGTCTTACTTTGTTACTGTCAATATTTTAAAGGTTGAATAGACTTCCAAAAATGTTAATTACAGATGTTTCCTTTAAACTATCTATTAGAAATATCGTGTGATTTTTCTTGCTCCGGTGACTTAAGGAGGTTAGCGAAGATGGATGAAATATAAAAGAATCAAATGAACTAAAACTAAGTGGTAAAAATAATGCAACGGAAAAGCAATGACGAGGGAGTGACTGTAGCTAGGACCAAGCTAGCGCACACGATGACACTGTTTTATTTTGTTTCTAGCAGCTTGGAAAAGATGGAACAGAGTCTCAGAGGCAGTATAGTAATTTTTTGTGCCATTAACCTTAACCCTGCAGTGAGACCCTCATGCAACAAACAACAGAGATCCTGTGCTTTGTAAATCCACATTCGAAGGCCGTGAAGACGGGATTCACGTCTTCCATACGGCGTGTCTGTGTGCGCCTCATGGCGTCAGGGAGCAGGGAAAGGAGCCCAGCAAATAGCAAGACCTCCAGAGAGGCCAGACCGTGCGCAGGAGGGTGGAAAGTCTCTGCGGGCAGGGACCTTTTTCCCGCCAGGAGCGGCGACCAGCCAGCCATTTCTGCCACCTAACATGTTTTCCAGATTAATCTTGGAGAAGACTCTTCCCCACACTGTGCGGCGATATCACTGACTTGCAACCCTGTGTACGCTTAAGGTGGAAAGTGCAGTGATTTTCGTACACATGTCTATTGCAAAACGGCCGGCACAGTGATCTTCGCTGACGCGTCTGCCGCCTCACAGCAAAGCCTTTTCTGTTGGGAGAATTAGCACACGCGCAATGACTACAGTGTGTTCAGCACGGTCACCAGGCTGCACGCTGCTGCTGGCCACTCTGCGTGTACACAGTCGCCTTTCACTCAGGCGGATGTGTGACATGGCAGGTCTGTGGGCGTTTGCGTATCTGGAAGGAGTGGGCCAGACAGGTGTGAAAATGGGGGTTATGGAAACTGCCAAGGAGTGAATCGAATTTCTGCTTCCTGGTCTTAACCTCTTTGTGGACAAACAGCCCGCTTCTCTATTTTCGGTCTTTGTATTAGTTTATCGCTGAATGAAATAACTGTAGGAACTACCGGTTTCTCAAGTTTAGAGCCAGAGGCTGAGAGAGAGGGAATAGGACCCATGAAACAGCAGCGGGCGAAGGAAGGTCATTTAACTGAGTGTGATTGGCTGCCATGCATGGCAGGTGTTAAGATGACGTAGCAGGTGGGATGAAGGGGCGGGACCCCAGCCAGGCCCTGAAAGATGACTCGGCCAGTCCGAGAGACAACAGCAATTCCTGCTCACGTGGGCCCACGTGTTTGCTCCCCTCCCGTGGATACCGTGCCACAGGCTTCTACTCACTTCTCTGGACTATTTGGAAAATGAAGACACTGGGCGAGAATTATGTACTCTTTTGTGTTTTCTGTCATCATTTCATGCTTACTGACTCCTGAAGAGTAGGGACAACGCCTGGCACTCACACTGAACAACCCCACCCGGGCCATGGCCCAGCCAGCAGAGGAGCTTCCCGGGCACGGGCTACAGAGCGGGGTCGGGGGGAGCAGGGCGAGCCTAGTTCCTGGAGGGGACCCGGGAGAGAGAGACACCCGAGGGGCATAGCTGGGAGGCCCCGTGATTCTATCACAGAGACCACAGCTCCGTGTAGCAGAGCGAGGTCAGTCAAGGGTGTCCGATCTTTGGTGTCTTGGGCCACACTTTAAATACACAAACATTAATAATACAAACTCATGAGTAATAAAAATGGTTTTAAGAACATTTACGGTTTTGTGTCGGGCCACCGTCGTAGCCACCCTGGGTTGTGTGCGGCCCGCGGGCCGCAGGCTGGAACCCCGCGGAAGGTGGCCGCCTAATCAGCCCTTCCCGGGCGCTGCCCGTGAGCAGCAAGTTAAATGGCGGCATTTAAATTGGTTTACAAACTCAAAGCATAAGCTGTACTCAGGACTAAAGACCTGTAAGCAAACCTGTCTCCCTTCAGGTTGTTGAAAGTCCACTCACCCACTTGGCTGTCCCGCTGAGTAGGTCTGAACTTCGCACTGAAGCAGAGCCTGAGGCGGACCTCGGCATTCTTGTTGAACAAAGTGATTTTTTCTGGTGTGAAGGACGCCTCTATAGACACATCAGCAATACTCTGCGACCTGAAAGAGGCAGCGGAGACAGATAAATGGACATGTTGCGTGCGCCACACGGGACCAGGGCCAGCAGTTCCCGGTTCTTCTCTCCACCGCTGTCTACGCACATCAGCAGTATTTTACATTTGAAAGCTCTAGTGTGGTGGTAGGGATCACGTTCTTTGTTTTCTTTTGTTTGTTAATTTATTTTTATCCTCACCCAAGGACATTTTTTCACTGTTTTGAGAGACGGGGAAGAGGAGAGCGGGGAGAGGGACATCAATGTGAAGAACATCGATAGGTTGCCTCCTATACTCCAACTGGGGATCGAACCTGTAACCTAGGTATGTACCCGGACCGGAATTGAACTTGCAACCTTTTGGTGCACAATGAGGCTCCAACCAGCTGAGCACACCAGCCAGGGCAGGATAATATTTTTGTCTGTGACTGCGTCGCCAGCGCAATGCGCGCCTCCTATTTTGGTTGGATGAATGTCTGCATGCGTGAGCACAGGTCCTGAGGCTGCGAGCTCTCTGCAGGGAGGCACAGAGCCGTGGTCCCTGCCATGTTTTGCCAGTAGGACGCCATGACATTCACTGTCCTCACAAAGATCGAGCAGGCAGCCGGTGGCAAGGTGGGGTGGCAGGGCTGAGGAGTGTGGCTGTGGCTATCCCCCGTTGCCTCAGTGACTCACTGTGGTTCCCTGGTTTGTGGCATGTGACCACGATGGGGGCAATTAGCCTGATGCCAGACGGTGGCGGTACGGCCACCTCGGGCAAGGCACTCTGCTCTTCGGCTCTCGGAAGGGCTCTCCCACGGATGCGGCCTCGCTGTTTCTACAACAAACACTCCTGTGCAACAGGTGGGGCAAACATTGTCCCCGCTTACCAACGGAAAGCCTGAGACACAAAGACGTTTTGTAACTTCGCTGAGTATCGGTTAGTGCGAAACAACAGCACAGGCAACAGGAGAGCCCACGGTCTCCTCCCTTGCTGCGTGGGATTTCTACATCACCATGACGACCCTTGGGCACCCCCTTAACTATTTACAAAGCAGCACATAGAAATCAGTAATCTCCCTGTTCCTACAAATAGTACAAGAGGAGATAGAAAACATTTCCTTTTAATTTCAGGACTTGAGTCCGTTGAAAAATTATTTTGGTAATTTTTCATATATCTACCAGGCCCCTGACAGGCAGTCAGGAAACACCTGGTAACAAAGGCAGCTGTCCGCACGCCTCCACGGCCGGCAGTGTCGAGGTGGGGCTTGTCTTTGTCAGTCTCTGAGATGCTGAGCGCGTATCCCGTAGGAATGGCATTGATTGAAATTATTTTGAACACTTGTTTTTTTAAAAAAGTTATTCTCAGGAAGTCCCCCAGAAAAACCAGACTCAGCACCTTATAAGAATGTGACCGCAAAATGCCATTAACCTCGCTTAACTGAACTGCAGGACATTGATTTCATGTTTCTTGACTGTTCGGAAGAATCAGATTCACCTTCCGAGAGAAAAGCTTGGCCGCCGCTGGCGGGGTGAGCAGGAGCACCACGGGCCGGGGGACGGCAGCCCGGCTGGACGGCTGGGGCGACGCTCGGGGAGGCACCAGCCCTCAGTGTTTGCGGTCGGCCTTGTCATCGGGTGATCACCTTGTAGTTTTCCGATGGTAGGCTGCTCTTCACTGATTTAACTGATTTTATTCAGTAAATGTGTTTTCTTATTTTTCAAGTCTTAAACATGACCCTTGAGTTTTATTTTCCCACATAAAGATTTCCGTAAAACGATGCATTTTGTTCTTGAAAACCACAAGTGAGATGCTGTGAACTGTATCACTACACTCGGAAACGACTTGGCATCCCTGTGTAGCTTTTTTGTTCTTGACATTCTTGGGCATTTAAAGCACAGTTTTCAAAAGAAACAAGTGGGTGAAAGGCTGCGCTCTCCTTTCCTGGCGACTCCTGATCAAGCTCTCAGTTTCTTTCTGATTCCATTCCCTCACCAGCCCCACGTACTTATTTTTGCCATTGAATCACATGGCCCCTGAATCCCTTATTGTCCCCCGCTCTGTAGCTCCTCCTGAGTTCAAGGAGAGGTCACTGGGCCTACATAACGGCTTCTTGTTTGTGACTAATAATTTTGAAAGTACCCCTAAACCACACGAGAAGTATCACTTCACATGTGTGGTCTGAGCACTCGGCGCTGGTCGGCCGCTCCCAGGAGGCTGCCTGGCTGTGCACGGGGTGAGCTCAGCCTCTTTGGAAGGTGATAATTTCAGAGACCCAGGAGGCCATTTCCTGGGCCACAGTGAAGCAAATGCCTTTTATCTCCCACCAGGGAAAACACGCTCCTCCCTACATGCAAACCACGACACACCGGTGCCTGGCGTCTTGGAGGGTGCGTGTGGCATTTCCCTGTGACCAGCACGGCGGTCTGCCCACTCCTCAGGCCCCGCGTCGGCCAGCTGCCCTGAGCCTGGCTCTCCCCAACTCACCAGAGCTGGACGACGTGTCCGAAGGCGCCGACGGACACGTCGGTGATGGAGTCCCCGTTTAAATCTCTGTAGCCGTCCAAGGACCTGCCGAAGTACTGCAGAGGGCTCCGGAAGGCTCGGTCGGATCCCAGGATTTTCTGGAAGGGCACGTGTAACATACAAAATTACAGGGCACAGCCACTGAAACAGACAAAACAGCAGCTTCTGCCCAGCCTGTCACCTTCACTACCTGGCCACGCCCAGGTGGCCATGGTCTCCACAAAATGCCATTGAATTTTCGGTCTTTCCTTATCTGATCTTTTGTCATTCCTGCAGCCACATTCTCATCAAGGAAACAGCACGAATCTTTTAACATCAAATCCCAGACCAGCACGGCACAGTGGAGGAGCAGCAGCCTGGGAGGGAGCTGGACAAGGTCATCCCAAGTCCGGCCCCGCCTCACCTCCTTCAGTCTCTGCTCCAAGCTGCCTGCTTGGCGAGGCCTTCTCCTCCCGCTTTTAAACATTCGCTTCCTCCCATCCCCCAACACTCACTCCCTGCTTCATTAAAAGGATTCCTTATCATTTATTACTATGTGCAACTCTTCATCTTATTTATCTTATTTTTCCTCTGTCTCGTCCACAGGAGTGTATGAATAATAAGACCCATAAAGAGCAGCTGTTTGTCCGGTTCTTTGCAGCACCTGCAAAGCCGAGGACAGCTCCGCCCCCGGCAGCGGCTCCCTGAATGGTGGCTGAACGAGGGAATAAAGCTGTGAGATAAGGCGGGTGGGGTGGGCGGTCCGCGCCCTTCTCTGTAGCGCAGGCACTAGGATGCCCACGTGTGACTGTCGTGAAGAAACGCATGCGTTACCTGGGAACACTTCGTGCGGATGGTGCGCTCGTGGCCGTTGTAGATGTACACGGCGCCGGCGTTGTGGTTTTCCAAAGGCGCCCCAACGATCACGTCGTTGAGGCCGTCCATGTTGATGTCTGAGAGCGCGGCGACAGCCGAGCCAAACCGAGCATTTTCCACGCCCTTGGGGCCTTCCAGAAACTGGTGCTGATTCAAAATGCCCTTGCAAAAGGGAAAAGGGGGCGATTAAAGCGAACCCGACTGCTTTTGCGATTGAAATTCACAGCAAATGATGGCCAAACCAATTTGCAAACTGGTACACGTGGGTAGGGTTGTAAACCTAGAATTCAAAATTCTCCAAATGTGATGAGGATTTTAAGGAATAATTTTCGTGAGTAAGGCCATAGGATGTGTGCTCAAAAAACAAGGTGAAAGGAGGGCATTCTCTTTAGTGACACAACCTACATAAAGTGTCCATTCCTTTATCTCCTTGTCCCCTCAAGATTAAGATCTGTTTCTAGACCTTTTGACTCAAACATTTTCTGGTGAAAACTGAATATTCTGAATAAAATTAAGGTACAGACAAAATAAAATACTGTATCTTAATTTAGACCTTTACATAAAATTTAATGAACAGTGGTATAATTATAATGGTACAGGAAGTGAACAATGAGATTGTTAATATTCCATTATAAGAAACACTAAAAAATTCCACCCAAAGAAATGCCATTTCCTTGTAAAAGACGCAGCCATTTATTTTTTTCCAATTTTGAAATCAAGAATGGAAATATTTCATACTTGACAGGAAAGCAACGCCCGTCACCATGAAGGTGCGTCAGTGCTGGCTCTTTCGCCTCTATCATAATCGTCTAGAAATCCACCTGCTACTAAGTTTGAGAAAGTATTAGATCTTCTCACCTTCGGCAATTAGTGATAATTCAGAATAGTTGACAAGCAAGAAACATTTAAGAAACCGGGATCTGGTAAATTTTTGGCCAAGCAGATACGCCCTTTCCTTATTGAATGCTCAGTTACACACTCTTTATATTCTTTAGAATGGTTTCAATTGCTTCTGTTCAAGGGCTGATCTTACGTTAATTTAAAGAACTGAGGGAGGGCAAAGTATCACATCAGCTGAACGTAACACTGTATTACCATCAGCGGTCCTCTCTTCCATCCCTTCTCCCCTGTGGCCACCTAATATTCTGTGTCACTGTGCTCGTGGGGGCGGATTTAGAGAGCTCAGTCTTCGAGGTGGAAAACCTGTTTTGCCATGTTAGAGAATGCTGAGTTTTATGCACAAGGGCCGGGAAGTTCAAGAGCTGGAGATACACCTAAATGTGACGCTAAGCAGTGGAACCTCCGGACCCAGCGAAGGCGGAAAGCGTCCGGGGCTCTACGGAGGCGTCCAAAGTGCCCGGCACAACCTGTCTGCTTCAGGGAAAGAGTCAGAGTTTTGAGCTGTTACCGTTATCTCCTTACAGCAAAGAAGATACTTGGGTGAGACACTTGGAAAATGCACCGTGTCTGTGTGTGTGCACGTGTATGTGCACGTGTGTGTGTTTTAAAAATGATAGGCATTTGTAATGACTTTATTTGTGTAAGAGAATACATATGCAAAGACCCCTCATGGAAAACGTCAGTGCATGACCCATGAAGCTCTACATTAATGTGATTTTTAAAATTATAACTAAATGGTGACATCCTCAAAATGAATGTAACCCATACTATACATGAAAATCATGATTCGGTAATACCAGATTTTCTTTCATTAAATACAAAAACGCAGGTCAACTTTTATTTACCAATACGAATACAAATTCAGTCGGTGTAATCATTGTTTTTACCTTTGTGATAGTGAACAGGTAGACGCGTCCTTCCTCTTTCTTTAGAGCGTTCATGTACATCGGGGCGCCGACCAGGAGCACGTCTGTGCTGCCGTCTCTGTCCACGTCGACTGAACACAGCACGCTGCCGAAATAGGAGCCGACCTGGAGCACGAAAGCATGGCGACCTTAGGACTCTGGGGTGCATACGCTCCTGACACTGAACTTGTATTTGTTCATTCAACAAATAAAAAGTGAGTGCCCACTTCCTGGAAAGTGCTAGAAACATAAAGATGGAAAACACAGTCCCTTCTCTCGGGTTGTGTCATCCCCTCATACTTGGCTCTTAAACCTCAGGGCACACAAAAACCACCAAGAAAGTATCTTTTAAAATACCGAGTCCTGAGACCCATTTCCGGGATTCTGGGGTCATGCCTAGAACGTGATCCAGAAAACGGTATTTTTATAGACACGCCAGGTGTTTCGGATGCTGGTGGGTCAAAGGCCACACTTAGAAGATGCACAGGGGGTGTGTTCCAGAGAAAGGGGGGAGGAGGAGGAGAGAGGCGGAATAAACGTTGTGTTTTCGTGAAAAAATGTGTTACAATAGAGGCGGGTACCGAATACCATGCGATCAGAGCGCGGGGGTCAGGAAGGCTTAGAAAGATCAAGTATTGTCTCCACTGCATCTTGAAAGATGCCAAGGAGTTTTCTAAGTGAAGAGGAGCGGGACACACGTGTGACGCCAGCGTCCACCGCCTGATGGGGACAGGAGGGTCATGCCACACAGGCTGGGACAGGCGCGTTAGAGGGAGGGACAGGAGGAGCCAGGCCGGGAATGTGCGTGTTCACCCCATTCAGCCATGTTCAGTGCACGCCCGCGAACGCCTCTGCCGCATTTGGAAACGAATAAGAAAGGATTTCTTCCGTAATACTTTCCTTGTTCTTCCCCCTCAAGATAAAAGCACCCTTTTAAAATACATTAAACAGGAGGGAAAAGTATGGGACCCTCACTGGTTTCTGGTCAAGGAAGTCGAAGACTCGGGTCTTCTTACTCCTGGAAAACCCGAGGGGCCGCGGACCGGACGTGCTCCCACGGAGGAGAAACCCAGGGAGCGCCCGGTTCTCCGGCCTAGGGAAGAAAAGGTTCCGGCCATTGTCCGAGATCCGCGATGCTCATCGCCGATGCTGCCTAGGCCGTGGCCCGAAACCGCGTAGGGAGGACGCGGGAGTCTCTCGGCTGACCTCCGCTCCCAGGGCCGCGCCGAGCCGGTCAGGACCGTTTGCCCACAGAACGGTCACACAGCAAAAGAAAGTGGCTGAGAAGCGAGGAGCTTTACTTTCAACAAGCTCAAAGCGACAGGACACCACTCCCTTCACAGGGCCTCTCCTCCGAAGCCCGGGCTCCCAGCAGGGGCGCGTCGGCACAGCAGGGGTCCGGGGCCCGCCACCGCGGCTAAAGGACGCCCGGGCATTACCAGTCTGGGGGTCCAAAGGTAGCCAAACAGCACAGGCTTGAGGTCACCTGGGGTGGGGTGTGACCGGACTGGCAGCGCCACCCCGTGAAAGCTATGTGACCCAGAAAGCTGGTCCGCCTCTCGGGAACCTGTCCAAAGGAGACGGCGGGCCTCGGCATTGTTGTGAAGGTCTGAGGGATAGCCAAGGAAAGGCAGCCGGCAGAGCCAGCCGCAGCGCGGGCCGTCGGCAAACGGCGGCGTCCCTTCCCACCAACTCCCCACCTGCGCCCGCTGGGCCTGCGATTAACGCCACCTGCGGAACCACGGCCTTTACCTGGTCGCCTCTGTGAGCCTGAATGATGGTGACGTCGCCACTCCCGCTGACGCGGTACAGCACTATCTGGCCCGTATAATTTGCCCGAGGCGCACCCGCGACAAAGTGGACCCCGTTTCCAGTGGAGAGCGTGGCCACAGAGTAACCTAGGAGAGACGGAGGTACGGGGTGGGGGCCAGGCCAGCTCCGTGGGCAGAGGCGGCGTCAGAGCCCCTTTCCTGTGAGCTGCGAGGTGCCGCGCCGTGTCCTGCGCCCGCCACCGAGGGCACGTCTGGCTGTTTCTAAGATGAACCGCTCCTGCCCTTTGACCAGCGGTGCTGCCCTGTGTGGGGGGGGGCATCTGACTCTACGTTCTGGGTTGTCCCCATCAGCCACTCATGAACCTGGCCCACAACGACTATTTCTTTAACGAGTCACTAAATGGCTAAAAAATGGTAACAGTGCAGAGCAGAGAGAACATGGGCTTTGGAGTCAGTCCCTGCTTCACATTCTGGGACGGCCACATTTAGGCCAATTATGAACCTCATTGGCTCTCAAAGGTCCAAAGGGGACAACAAGACTCCCTCCAAAAGGTTGTTGGAGGGTTTGATGTTCACGTGGATTTCTATCGACAGCTCAGGAACTACTCCAGAGTAACTGTTCACAATCGGAGGCGGCTTATCTTAGGAATTAGAAGACCGAGGACTCCGAATTTAAGCAGACTATCACTTGCTGTGTTGGCTTTTAGGAATCACATCCAGTTTGAAGAAACACAGGAATAACACCCCCCGGGGAGCCGGAAGAGATCAGTGAGTATCATTCCGGTTTCATTAAATAGCTATGGACAAAGGCCTGATGGGCAAACAGGGGACCCAGATACTGTGTCATAAAATAATAAGCAGAGGACAGCGGCAGGCTGTGCTGACCGATCCTGAGATTCGACAGCGGGCCGGCTGCAGGGGAGGGGACGTAGGGCTGCGGAGCCCAGCGCCCCCACGCCTCACCTAGATAGGAGCTGTGGTTTCTGTCCTGCAGGGTTTCCTCGAAGGCCTCTTTGGGAAATATCCAATGCCCGTGAGACGTCTGCTGGACAACGGTCCCGCTCCAGTCGTAGGCCCCGACTGCCCCCAGCATCAGGACGTCCTGCCATAACGGGGAGACGAAGAGTAAAACAAATCTCCCTCGAAGTGTAAGAATTCAGGAGAGGTAAAATGTTGAACTCGATGGTCTGGGTGTAGGGAAAAATAAACTAAGCACGATGAGGTGAAAGTACACAAATGTCTGTCGACCGTCGCGGAGTTGTCTTAACCTGTCCGTGCTGGGAAAGGCGCCTTCCTAAGGCCGCGCCACCTCAGGCCCCCTTTGGGATGACGCGTCGCACAGACGGGTCTTCGCAACAAGCGATCGTCAGGAGGAGCCCATGGCCACGCTCAGATTCCCATGCAAAGGCGCACACCAGCCAGGGCCGACCAGCGGGGAGCCTTCGGAAAGGAGTCCGCAGGGCGCGTCCAGCCTCACGGAGCCGCAGAGGAGCTCACAGTGGGGCCCGGGCAGCTTGGGAAACAGGAGCTGCTCCCCCATCCCCTTTCTCCGGTCTCACCAACTGGGAAACAGCACAGCTACCACAGGCACCCCCGTCCTGACCAGTGTGGCTCAGCTGGTTGGAGCATCATCCCATCAACCAAAAGGTGGCCGGTTCGATTCCCGGTCAGGGCACAGGCCTGGGTTATGGATTCAGTCCCCGGTCTGGTTACGTTTGGCAGGCAACTGATCAGTGTTTCTCACATTGATGTCTCTCTCCCTCTCTTTCTCCCTCGCTTCCCCTTTCTTTAAAAATAAGTGACTAAATAAAATCTTTTTACAACAAGGCACCCGGAGCTGGGACAGCCCCCCTAGCGTGAGGGAGCGTGAGGGTCCCTAGCAGGAGGGTCCCTAGCGGGACCACCGCAGGCCGGCCCCGGTGGGGGAGGGGCACAGGAGACAGGCTACCCTGGCGGGCCGGCAACCCGACCCGAGCATCCGAACCCACGAGTCTTTGCAGCACCCGGGGCTGGTCAGGATGGGATCTGACATATTAGGAAACATTTTGAATAGAAAAACACGAGTCGTTAAAAAAATAGCAACTAGGGAAATGCTGCGTTTGAGACTAGAAGGCCATGAAATCATGTGCGTAGTTGTCACAAGTCTGGGACTCGGGATCTGGGGAAGGGAGAGGAGCTTCAGAGCATCCAAAAACATCAGGAATTCATGTTAAGAATTCTCTCGGGGTGGGGTAGGAGGGGGTTCATTTACAGTTCCCAGGGGGAAGACCTGTAACTTTTATGAGTATCTCTGATGACTGGTGATCCCGAGAAAGTCAGTACCTTTAATTCCAGGGAGAAAATAGGCTCTGAGCCAATGCTCTGAGTGCATTCTGTCCCCGCGTGTCCCTCAGTGTCCCTTGGTCCTTCAGCGGCTCCCCTCCCGTCCTGAGCAGACTCAGCCTCAGAGGCCTGGGGGGGTGGATGGTTCTGGAATGGCCTTCCCTGAGCTAAGACGACGTCCCACCTCACACTTTCCCAAATCCCTCCTTTTCCCCACCATTTCCTGCCAGAGCAACTCAGAATTCAATGATGGCGGTGACAGGAATGTGTGTTTGTAGTAAGCGTTTCTATTAGTTAATTGATTCGAAGGCAATTCCTGCAATGGTAACGCCTTGAATTCATAGAGGGCCTGTCCCCTGGAGTGCTCAGAGGCTTTCTAGTATGTTATCATTTTCTTTTTTGCATACAAAATCCCTGTGAAATAGGGAAGGGACGGCACGGATGAGCCTCTGTGCTCAGGGGGCAGCCGGTGGCACGCAGAAGCTCAAGGACTTGGACCGGCAGTCAGGGCGGCTGGTTGCTGGGCGGCTGTTTTCCCCGGGACGGGCAAGGCTGCCGCGCCCGCAAGGTTAGGCCACGTGACAGAGCGGCTGGGAGTTATGATATACTCACGTTTTCAGGAGTGTAATCTGCGCTGAATCCCACTTGTGACATTTCCATCTGGAACTTATCTCCTCCTTGAACGGTGCCTGGGAAGTGGCAGTTTCAAGAATCAGATCGCTGCCATCAATTTTAAATCAATTTTTCAATCACATGCACGCACATACAATGCTCTGAGGTTCACTCAGAAATACAGAGCTGGCAGGGCAGAGAAATCAGTAAGGTCGCACTCCAACAGATATGGAAATCCTCAGCATCTCCAAAGGCAGAGCTTAAAGGAGCCATTAATCTTGATTACATATGGATACATTTATTGATAGGAAGTTTCTGATAGCAAAGAACACTCAACAGAGGGGCCGGGGAAAGGTGAAAACTGAGGCGATAGCCTTTTAAAAAACAACCTGTCATTTCTAGGCAAGAAGCTCTCCGAATTTTTAGCATTAAATATTGGAACTAACTTTTAGCCTTTAAATATAGGAACTAATAAGTGCGTGCACGTTGCAGATGGCGGTCGAGCTGCATCGCAGGCCACGCTGAGAGGTGCCGGGGTTGGACTTCAGGAGCCAGCGTTCAGGCCTGAGCGGGGGTTGAACCAACTTGGGGGGTGTCCCAGCTCAACCCTAGGGTGCCTCTCGCTCACTCAGCCCCAGGGGGCGCAGTTAGTGCTCGGTGCCCTACATTGTGGTCAAAACGGGTCTCGTTAATAGTCTCAAAAATGAAGCTAAATTCCTGAAGCGTCACTTTAACAGAGAGACCAACCGTACCTCGTGACTCAGTCACATGCTTGGAAGATGCAATCACTTCCACAGGATGAGTAGAGATAACTCTTAGGAAAACAACGCGGCGTTGTCCCAACCCTCAGACTGGCAGAGGATACACAAATTCTTTTGCAGTTCGTTTTTGGACCGCATCAAGGTGGTTCATATTCGTGCCGCCACAAAAGAACCAAATTATTACAACAGGCAGCCAAACAATTTTTAATTATTTCAGGGCATGTGAGATTTTGACAATGATTTAAACAATTCAGGAGCACCATGGGATGTTTAAGGAGGAATACGACGTTTTGGATAGAACTTTCCAGCGGACAATTAGGAGATTAGGATATGACTGAGGAACGAACACTGAACTGACGTAATCCCCTTGGACCTAGTTTCCGGAGCAGCACGGATACATAGCAGGTGCTCAGTAAAGGGTGCTTTTTACTGCCAACAGCTACTGGGGTTAACCGGCAGGAACCAGGTTGGGGTCCTGTGGGCCTTCGTACCGGCTGGAGTGTGTGTTCCAGTCCTGCATGCAAGTGGCCTCTTGAACATGGGCCATTTCCCCACTAACGAACCTTCCGAGGCCATGGAAGGAATTTATCGTAGATCTGGTACATGCTCCCCTGAAATCCTAACTACTAACAATCTTCATTATATTTTCCTAATTTTAAAAGTAGACTTGTTTTTTATAAACAAAAAATTTCTGAAATTAGGTAACACGGTGTAAAAAAGTAAAACTTTCTACAATTATAAAAACTCCAGTGCCAAAAGGTAAAACTGCTTACAATTACAATAGACATTACTAAATTGCCTTCCAAATGGTATAGAATTTATAATCTTATGGACAATCTATGAGCTTCTTTGCTCCTCCATAATCTCTCCAAAATTACATCTTACTAATTAAACTAATTTAACTAATTAAATCTTTGTTACCTTTTCAGCACAAAGTCACATTGATATAATTTATGCTTTTAAATAACTGGGAATATTTTCTGATATTTCTTGGCCGTCTGTATTTATCTTTTATAAGATACTTACTCACGTTATTTGCCTATTTTTTGTACTGATTTGTAAGAGCTCTTTTCGTACCACGTGACTCACGGACATTCACAGAGCGAGTGCGCAGCCAGAAAAGCGAGACTTCGTGAAAGATGCGTTTGGAAGGAGCCTGCTGGGAGGCGCCCTTTTACCTTCGATGCTGAAAATGTGCTCTCCTATCGTCCCGGCCTTTTCCAGCAGAGCTGCCTCATCAGACACATTGAAAAAGTATCTTTCGGTTGGACTACTGGCAATTGCTTTAATTTCTTTTATCAAGTTTTTAGTATCAAGGGCGTTTCTGTTTAAGTACCCTAGAACCTTGAAAACAAGGAGAGGAAAAAAACGGTCATTGTTGCTGTGCTTCGGTTTTCCTGCAACACTCTCTGGGCAGTTTCTGACCACCACGGGCCCTCTGGGCAAGGAAGCCTGCCCCGCCCTCATCGGCAGGACTACAATCAACAAGAAGCAGAAACAGGGTAAAAAATTTCCTTTTTATCAAGCTTTGCGAGCCAATGAGAAAGGCAGTCTTGGGCAGTGATGTTAGAGAGGCACGTTTACCCAGCAATGGAAAGATAATTAAAAGAAATTCACTTAGCCCTGGCCAGTGTGGCTCCGTTGGCTGGAGCATTGTCCACAAACCAAAAGGTCGCCTGTTCAATTCCCGGTCAGGGCACATGCCTGGGTTGTGGGTTCGATCCCCAGTCAGGGAGCGTGAGAGAGGCAACCGATCGATGTTTCTCTCCCTCTCTCTCTCCCTCCCTTCCCCCTCGCTAAAATCAATAAGCATGTCCTCAGGGGAGGCTTTGAAAAGATGCACTTACTGCTATGCCGAACCTCAGTATGTTGTACTCGTTACATTGCTCAATGACGTCTTTCAACATGGAACCGTCATGCGATTCCCCGTCAGTCACAACCACCATGACCCTGGTGGCGCCTGGTCGCCCGCCAGCAGCTGTAGTATAAGCGAAGTCCCTGCAACAGATAAAATGAAAGGCTCGCCACCAACACAGACGTTAAAATGTGCACCTCTTCTTGGAAACAGAAATGCAAAACTGCTTTGAGCATCGCCTATCGCGACAGAGGGTTCCCCTCCCTGTCAGCCTGGAGACACGTTTAGGGACGCTCTACTTGCAGCCTGTGGAGAAACTTAAACCTACAACCCTTGCTGGGCAGCAAAAAGAATCTCCATGGGCTCCACGGTGTGTGTTTTGTGTGTGTTCACGTGTGTCTACATCAGGAATCCTTAGAGTTACCTTCTGATAAGAAAATTAAATTCATTAATACTATTCGACAGATCAAAAATACTCAAATTTGTCATATATTTTACTCATTGAATCTGCATCTCCTTTTTCAATATACTTTAAAAAAAAGATATATGTGGTAAAAATAAAAGCCTTTGAAAAGGTATATAATAAAAATCTGACACCAAGCTCCTGTTCCAAAACTGCTATTATCACGTTATGTGTCCTAGAAAATGCTGTGTCTCGATGGATATGGGTAGTCTACCCCCTAAACCAGGGGTGCCCAACCTTTTGGCATCTCTGGGCCTCACTGGAAGGAGTTGTCTTGGGCCACACATTAAATACGTTGTGACACGTAATCACAAACAAATCTCATGAAGTTTTAAGCACATTTACGATTTTGTGTTGGGCCGCGTTCACAGCCGTCCTGGGCCGCATGCGGCCCACGGGCAGCAGGTTGGATGGCCCTGCCCAGGGCGTGGTCTCTGGGGTGACATGTCTTTTTGACAGAGGTCTTTCCCTGTCAGCACAGGTGATGCCCTGGTCCTTCGTTGATGCCTGTGGGGCACTTCCACGTTTGGGGGTGGAACAGCTGTTGAGCCAATTCCCCATTCCTGGGCGTTGAGTCCATTTTGAGCTTCACAACTAACGCACGCTGTAATGAACGCCCGTGAGAACCTCGGTATGCTTTTTCAAATGTGTATGTGCAATAAAATAACTGGAACAAAGGTTCTATACATTTAAAATTTTGATAGCTAATGCCAAACTGACCTTCAAAACTTTCAAGTGATTTATATTACCATGAACGTACATTTCTCTTCCTCCTTTCCTTAGCAATGAAGATTGTTAAACCCTTTAATTTGGGGCATTCTGAGAAGTGACAAATAATACATAATTGTAGTTTTAATATGCATTTTTTATTATGAAGGAACGATGAGCATTTTACATGTTTATTAACTGTTTCTCTCCCTTGATTTTTTATATTTGTCCTTTTTTGGCATGTTCATCGTTTCTTGTAGTGATTAGTAAGATCTTTTGTTAATAAATAAAATTATCCTTTGTCATATACATTATAAATAATTTCTTCAACTCATTAATCATCTTTTGAATTTTAATGGGATTACTTCTGCACAGAAATTTTATATTTTAATAAAATCAAACCCACTAACTATTTCTGTGGCCTTTTGATACTTGACACAGTACTTTGAAAGGACTTCCCGCCCCTTTTGAAATCACCCACAGCCCTTTGACACCGGGGGAGAGGGTCGCCAGAGGACGGAAGCAGGAACTAAAGCAGCGCACACGCAGCGAAGGGAACGAGCGGAGCGAGGAAACCAGAAACAGAAATGACAGGGCGTGGCGGCTGCTGGGGTGCGCGGCCCAAGGAGGCGCACAAGGGATAAAGGGCACCGTCCAGTCCTTGGCCTCGGCCCCTGGAAGGGGCGGGGGCGTGTCTGCACGCGACGAAGTCCTGAGCAGGAATAGGAAGAGGAATGAGGCCGCGGGTTCAGGAGGCACAGACTTTGAAACGCGACCGCGCCCCGCGGACATGGAGAAGCAGCGTCCGCAGGCCGCTGCGTGCGCTCCGGGAGGGGCTGGGCTGACCGCGCGCCCGCGGCGACCCGCAGCAGCGGCTGTGCCGTGGGCGTGGACACAGCGCCTCCCAGAAGCGCTGCAGAAACAGAGGGCTCTGCCAAAGGAAGGAGAGACAGGACAAGGGGCCAGGGTGGAGGCAAAGCTGCCGACAAAGCGTGGGCGGGACCCTAGAGGTTTGTGGGGTCCTGGCCAGAGGGCAGAAGGAGCAGCCTGTCTCATCATTGTCAAAGGTCCAGGGAGGCAAAGCGGCGAGGTTCGAGGCGGGACGGCCCGCTGTGTGGACGGCGCAGAGGGCACCACCGGCCTGCCTGGCGGCAGGGCCCGCGCTGCAGGGAGGTCGGGGGGAGGCAGTACAGACTCGGGAGAGAGGAGCGGCGATGGATGGGAGGCATGCGTAACAAGAGGCGAAAGGCGGGAAGCAGGTTTAAGGGAAGGTGAGCACATTGTTCTCATTTACTTTTTTAACAGTAGGACCGCAGTGTGCGTTTCTGTAAAGGTATCTGATTAAAACGGAGCGCGGGGAAGGCTGAGCAGCAGAGGAACCGAGCGGAGGCGGGGCGGGGGGAGCGGGACCCTGGGAAAATGCGGCGTCTCCCTCCGCAGCGAGCGCTCCGCCCGCTCAGGTTGCCTGGGGCCTGGATACGTGTTAACGAGTCATTCCAGACCGCTCTGTCTACTCGTGTTTTGACGTAGGTCTTTTCACTTCATTTCATTATGTCATGTAACACCTTTTTAAAAACCACAGACTATCTCATAGAAGTCCTAGAAATCAAAGATTTTTAAACTTCATTTCCTACTGTCTTCTCAAAGTGTTTCCGATACAGAATATCTAAACTTTCTTCTTCACTATTTCTACGTGTGGATACCAGGCACGTTATTTTTTGTTTGTCTGTTCTTTTTCTTACTTACAAGCGCTTCTACTTTGTCAAAGCCCTGGCCTGTTGGCTTCATAACTCACTTTGCGTATTTGATAGCTTTGAAGGTATTGGTGAGGTCCCCGCCATTCTGGAATGTCTGCGCTGTTGCTGCTATCATTTCGGCTTTGGTTTTGAAAGTGTTCAGATTAAACACAACTCTTGGATCATTGGCATACTGAATTAACCCCACCTGCAAGAGAGCAGAAGTTTCTTAAAAGGCTGTAAATTAAGTTATAAATCATTTCTATTTTATCAATATAATAAAAATCAAAGGTGCATGTAGACGAGGACTGACACCTTCAGAGGATTTTTTTCAATTTCCTTCATAAGAACAGTTATTTTTCTTCCAATGAAATAACTTCTTTGTTAGTGGCTGGAAGTGTATAGCAACAGTACTTACGATAAGCAAGATGATGTGCTGTTGTGTGATTTGGTTCTCAAGAGTAATAGATGTAAAATTTAAAGCACTGCCCTATAATATTTTAATATGGATAAATATTAGAATAAAGTTAATAAAGATAAAAATGATGTAAGTTTTCTAATTAACAATGGATATAAACCTGTAAATAATTATGAGCAGCCACAGATGGAAGATTCGTCGATTCAGGATATTTATGTAACAAGCAGAGAATGAGAATTCAAGACAATTGATTATTGCTAGTAATCAATGCAGTCAACTTGGACGTATTTCTTGTGCTGGGGTTCCTCCCGTCGCTCCCGTCGCACACGGGAGGAGCCCAGACGCTGCCTGTGCGTGTGCGGCCAACGCCGCCTGAGGGAGTCTGAGCAGAGCTGAGAAACAGGACAATGGCGGGCCCCGCCGCCCGGGCTCACAACCCTCGTTCTTTACCTCAGAGGGTCAGACACATCTGCTGCTCTCGGCCCGACATCACCCGCCACGCCTAGGAGTGGGGCTCCCAGGGCCGGAAGGGGCAGTGACAGCTCAGGGTCGCGGCCTCCGAAACACAGGCCAGCAAGTAAGGAAGGTGGGAGGGCACAGCCTGGGTCTCTGAGTCCCATCAGCTCCTCTCACTCGATGGCGAAAAGATGGTATTACCACACCCCGCTTTTCAGGGCGGATTGTAAGACTTGAGAGAGAGGGAAGGACCGAAAAGAAGGCTGAGACTTTCAAAGCCTAATGGGAGAGAAGATGGGAGCACGTCCCATGCCACGGCCCCAGAACGTCCAGGCGAGAAGGGGGAGGGCTGGGTGGAGGGTGTGAGGAGGCGCAGCGCGGCAGGACCTGCAGAAAGGTCACAGTCGGCTGAAAAGGAGAGACTGAGCAAAGCCCCCTCTGGAGATGAAGAAGATGTGCTGGGGCAGAAAGACGAGAAAGGCCGTGAATCCCACACGAGAGACTAGCCAGCAAATGGGCCATGTCACGGGGTGACCCACTCAGAGAAGAAGAAAACATGAAAGCTTCTTCTTCAAGGGGCCCTAACAGGGACGCTCCCTGGAAACCGGGGCTACACTCAGTCCCCTTTAACAGAAGTTTCTGGCTAAAGCCCACAGTGAAACTTTCGCAGTTTTGGGGGTTTAAGCTCCTCTTGGTATTGAGGGGTAAGGTCCAAGGAGAAAAGTCTAACAATTTTTTATTATACTGCATAGAAAAGCTGAAAAACAAACTTCAATATGGACAACTGACTGGCATTTAGGAGAAAATGTCCTGATACTTGCTGGCCACTGCCAGACTTCGGGGCATCAGCTGCAGCCCAAGGACACGCACAGTGACACTGAGAATGGGTCCCTCTGAAGGGCGGGTCAACACGCTGTCACACCCAGGATGACCCACGGAGCGATAGAGCCAAGGAGAAAACAGAACCAAACCAAACCCCCGGAACTGAAAAAATAAGCTCTATTCAGTTTAATAGAAGCATGAACTTCTGCTCTGGAGTTTTGGTTGCGTGTCAAATGAAGGGCCCCTTAAACCATGGAGAAACATACAACGGAACTGAAAAGACCTGTCCTGTATGAAAAGAGGGGTAGACGAGAATGTGGTAAAAGACTACAAACGGATAAATAGTGGAATTATGCTGTCTAGAGACTTCTTTATGAAAATCCCAGAATTCAAGGATAATTGTTTAGCAGCAAGGAGTAAACAAAAGAAATTCATTATTCGTCCAGGGGGTGTAAAAAAAATCATATTGGATTTTAAAACATATTAATAAATTCATGAGTTAGAGAATGAAAAAACAAGCCACAGAAGAGGATTAAAAAGGATTAAAATGCTCTATCCCATATCTGATGCCTGGGCCAGAACTAGAAATCCAAGTTCAAAGACCAGCGTTGGGCAAAGTCACAGACGGAATAACTTGAGTACAAGCTTCATGTAACTCTCAATGTTACCTTTCAAGGCAGTTAATATGGGGACTTGACAGACGCAAAAATTAAGACCTCGTATCTAACCCCATTTTCTCAGGGAGAAAGCTGGGGGTTCATCTGTGGATTTGCATTACGTCCATACCTGTGTCTTTGCGGGGCCTATATCCAGGCCTTGTACAAATTTTTCCAAGAAGTTCTTCACCGCCTCCCAGGGATAGATGCTGTTTGACTCATCGCATACCACCACCACATCTATGAAGGACGTACAGGCTGCACAGGGAAAGAGGGGAGAGACCGAGTCGCACGGCCAAGTCAAGAGGCCACGCCGCATCCAAGCGTGACGGAGCGATGCGGAGCTGAGGGCTGCGCGGCGTGCTGAAACGCGTTCCCCCCTCCGACGTGAGACGTTGCTCAGACCTTCCGCACGCTCACGACTTACCCTGCACCGCCGGGGAGAAGCTGGCCGAGAGCTGGAAGTCGGGGCTGATGTCCGAGCAGACGCCCGTCGCATAGTGCTGACTTCCGCACTGCTGCGCCCACAGGGGACCGCACGTCTTCAAAATAACGAGAACAAGGACACAGCATGGAAAACCTCTCTGCCTGGGAAACTCAAAAATCGTTTCTGTTCTTCTGCGAGACACTAGGGATTGTCAGCCCTTGACAGGAACACGTGGCACACGCCTCTGGCTGGTAGTGCGCCAGGTAGACAGAAGCGAGGGCAGCGTAGGGGTGTGCGGGGCCAGAGGGCAGGCTTGGGGCAGAGGGGCGTCGGGACCCTCAGGGGCAGGTGTCAGCTTAGGGGAGCCCACCAGCCGCCCACCAAGCTAGGGAAAAGGGGTGCTTTCGTTCCAGGGGACCCCCAGGAGAAATGTTCATTTCTGGTCCTTCTGTTACCTGGGCTTCATGTGCAAAATGAAGATAATAACGCCTTCTAGTCTTTCTAAGGTGTAAGTGGGTCCCTAGGTATAAAATGCTTGGAACAGTGCTGGGTGAGCAGCCAGTCACAGGGCAGTGTTAGCCAGCGCCATTGTTGTTATTCATGGACACGGGCTGCTCCTGTCCCTTCCGTGTGGACGAGTCAGCAGACGCCGTGAACCCCCGTGTCCCCAAGGGCCAGGCAGGAAGCCTGGAAGCGCACTTGGGGTCAGGTACAGACAGCAAGGTGAGTGAGGGATCGGGCCACTCTGCCCCCGCCTGGCCAGGTCTCCCCAGTCCTCCGGGAGAGTCAGAGAGAATGAAGTGTGTGGAAGTTCGCTGTTTTTAAAAAACGCCCTGTGCTAAGCACACACCATGAGGTTCCTGAGCTGCCAGTTTGAAACTTTGCTAGAGCGCGTTTCTCAGAGGACTTCAGGCCCCTCGCTTCCACGCCCTGGAGCCTCAGCCCGCGGGCCGGCGCTCGTCGGGCCTGCCTTGCTCCGCAGCCCGCTCGTGCCCAGAACGCCTGATGCTGCCCCACGGGAAAGGTCCGGTTAATACTTTCCATGGAAAAGGAAAGAACGGGGAAGAGAAGTTCAGTCAAGATCTTAAAAAATAGCTACGAAGTTTACTATTAGGCTGCAGACTAATGGTTAAACCTGAACAGAAGAGTGCAGGCTTGCAAAAAGCGACTGGAAGAATGAAAGGGAATTTATGGGTTCAGTTGCTGGTAGCTTGAAAGAGAAAGCAACAGCTGTAGTCATTTTTCATGCTCAGGGAGTGAATAAGGCCAGCTTTGCCTATGAAACTGGTTCCTTTTGCCAATTAGGGGAAAAGCATAACTCACGCATGTGGTCGTTTACTAAGTAACAGATACCAATGATTGACTCCTATACCCCCCTCCCCAAGCTGACTGTTCCAATCAACTTGAAAAAAAAATAACTCATGAAGTATTCAAAAAAATTTTTTTTAAGCAATGGAAAACATCATTAAGAAGTTGAGATCAGACTATGCCAATTGTTAAAGCCAGAACTACATTCCTGCTGTAAGCCCAGAATTTAAGCAGGTTCAAAAAAATGTGGTGATTGTCAGTCTTTTCCACATAATTCTTAAGAGTATATTAAGACTTTGTTCTCTTAGGTATCTAAAGAAGACTGGATTTTTTCTTTCTCTTCCTTTTTCCCCTTCTCCCTCACACACCTTTCTCCCTCCTTCCCTCCCTGCCTTCCTCTGTGCTTGCTACATGAGTAAATTAATCTCTCAAATTCTCTTGAAATTTTATTTACTCTATCTGAAGTTACAGTTTAAACATTTTTGAAGCACATTCTGTATGTAATCTTTATATCTCAATATATTTCTCTTTCTGAATTTATTCAACTTTAAAAACAAACAAGCAAAAAAAAAAAAGATGAAGGCAACCCTATTACAAGGACTTCGCGATATCATAAAGCATGAAGGTTTGTTGCAACATTCATCTTTGCCTTGATGCAGCACATATTAGAAGCAATTTCTGATTTACTTAGTGGTACAAAGTCTGTCTGAATACTATTACCTATTAGTGAAAGTAGAAGGACGTTGCTCAAAACCGATTGTACTTTTGGGAAAATACAGTTATACACATAGGTTTTAAGCATGTCATAGATATAACTAATGTAAAGTTTACTTAAGCTGTCTAAGATGACAATTTTAACATGACAATGCAGCGAGAATACACCCGGAAGAGCTGATGGAAATGTGAACTAAAGCTGGGCTTTTATTTGCCTTTAAACTTTCTTTTGCCTGTGTGCAATGGTTTCACTTCTTTTATATAGTCAAATCTTTTCAACGATTTTCTATACTATTTCTTCTGTTAGTTCTAAGCTCAGAATTTCTTCTCTTTTCCAGAAAATTACCACTTTCTTCTACTTGTACATATCAACTCTTTAATACACTTGGAGGCATAGTTGGATGTGCAAGTTATTAACCCGTGGATTGGCCCAGCCCACTCATTAACTGAGGCATTCATTAAATTAGACATCACTGGTCTGGGATGTCTTTTCACAGCATTCTAGAAAGTAGATGAGAATAAACACGAACAGGAAATAAAATGAGATCGAGCCATGCCTCAACTAATATCAGATTAGCCAACGGTTACAGGACAGGAATACAAACAAAAGCACGTCTCGCTTTGAAGCCGGCTTTCGGAGCCAGCAGCCCCTGTCCTGTGTGCCCCCACGGGAGGAGACGGGAGGCCTGGAGCTCTGAGGTTTTCAACAAAGGCCCGCACCCTGTCCAAGGGCAAAGAATCCGGGTGTCTCTCGCTCCCCCTTTTCAAAACACCCCATGGCAAGGACTTTACTGCGCAACTCAGGAGCCTCTCCATCCACAGGTCGTTAAGTCACGGTGGGCAGCCCGGTGGCCCAGCCGATCGAAAAGCAAGCTCCTGAGCCTCAAGATCGGACGTGACAGGCGGGACGGTGAGACACGCTGGCTTCATGCTTCCTGGAGAAGGAGGGGGGTTTGAGCACTAAACACTCACCAGAAATCCTCCGGTCCTCATGTTCCTGCTGAGCGTCAAGCCGAGGCTCATGTTGGTTTTCATCTCGGTAACATTGGGGATGCTTACGGAAGCTTTCGAAGGGGGAAAAAAAAAAATTAAATAATGACTAAATTTTCTCTACTTAAAGTTGTTTTTTTAAACATCCCATGCACACTCGTGTATATTTGTAGTGTTGAATTTAGTGTCACGTAGCCAGAAGGCCAGGGACCGGGTCAGCGCAGAGGATGGAGAGGCCTTCGGCGACCGACGCTCCCCAGTGCGCGGGAGGCTGCAGGGGCATGTGGTCGGAGCGCGGGCCAGAGCAGGCAAACCAGGTGGGCATTTGCATTTAATATTGGTAAAAGGCCAGCCAAACCCAACACAGCTGAGGACACCGTTGGGTCTCCAGTTTGCGGCCCCTGCCCTGTCCAAGACCGTGATGACTCTGTCTAATGCTTCATTCCGGATCAGAAGAAGTATCTGTAGCGTGTTATGAAACCCTACCCTGTGGTAGACTCCGCTCAGCACAACAGTGAGCGAATCTGAGAAGGGAACCCCGAGGCCGGCCACACTGAATAATAAATACGTCTCCCTAGCCCCGTCTCTGCCACCGAACCAGCGCCATCCACCGGACTCGTCCTCGAGCGGTTATCGGACACGGCCGACCTCCTCCACGATGTCATCGACGCGTGCAGCCTAGTTTCTGCCAAGCCGACACCGCCACTTGCCCTCCGTCCGCACGCCCCAGGGCGACCAATTTAAAACGTGACCTTTCTTCTCAAGCCTCCGAACTGAGCCCAGGCCCCATCCCTGTCTGCACAACGTGTCTCCTGAAGAAAAGAGTCACGCCCCAAGTGCGAGCTTGGCTTCTCTCTGTTCGCTGAGGAGGCTTCGTTCCAGGCCCCGGCTTCGCTTGGATTCTGGAGAAGGGAGCGTTCTCTCCAAGGCTCACTGCACTCTCCGGGCGCCCGTGGCATCGGGTCTGTGCTGTCGCTCTGCTCTCGACGGACGGTCGCCCCGTCGTACCGCCTCCTTCCGCTCTCCCGACAAACGGGATCTTCTTATGAGAAAATCTCCTCTTAACCCTGCTGCCCCGTCAAGCTGTCTTCCTAGCTCCCCGCACCGCTCGGCTCGTGGACACGGGCGCCCACGCTCTCGCCTCGCACCTGTTTGCTGCCCACCTGCTCCACAGCCTTTGTCACCTACATTTTCCCTTCAACACCAGACAGGAAAATCACAAAACGTGATGGTACGGAGCGCAGACAGAAAAGCAATAGAATGTCTGTGTGTATGTTTTTATTCCTTTGAATTTATCACTTTTGTTTAGGAAGATAAGGTGTCAGTACAGGTCTGTAATTAAAAAAATAAAATGTATACATTAGGGATGAGTGCTCAAAAGCAAGAGGTAATATGAGACATCGGGGTGACGTAATAAGGCCCTTGAGCACGCACGCCTGGTACCTGCTCTTCTTACTTTAGACGTGTTGCATGTATTTTTATCTAGGGGGAGGGCTGCGAATGCTTGGAGAGCACTATTCGAGATCAGCCACACGTCCCTTAGATAAGACGACCGTCTGAATTTGGTCCTCGTGCCCACGCCCCGCCTCCCCCAGCACTGGCCATGACTGACGCTTGCCCCACCTCGCTCCCGCCTTGCTTCCAAGGCTTAGTCACCGTCTTCGAATGTCTCCTTTCCCTCGATTTCCACGACACAGGATTTTCCTGGCCCGCACCCCAGTTCTGCAGGGTTCTGACTCCTCAGTGCTGTCTCTTTTGAATGATGACAGTGACCAAATTGAGTAATTTTTACTTGCATCAGGAAATGCTGTGTGGAAACATGACTCATGTAGGTCTCCAGGAACTTTTAGGAACTTTTGCATTAATAGAAAGCATCTGACGTGTGGGCAATAAACAGCAATTCCGAACAGTTACAGGCGGCCCTCAACCATGAACGTTTTTACTAGAATGGCGTCGTTTAGGCGCAGTGCCTCCGAGGGCCATCCGAGGACTGACACTTCTCCTCTTCACGGTGCGTTTGAGGAGACAGGGGTTGGGGCAGCCTCCGATTTCTGTCAATAATCAACAAATAATCCTAAACGTTGGTGGAAGCCAGTCCGCATCTGGGGGTAGAGGGTCCAGGAAGCAGCATGTTTCCCGTGTACTGTATTAAATCGGGTCTTCGGACTGTGTCGGAGATTTGGATGCAATTGGGCCCCATATAACTAGGACAAAGAAATACAGGCAGCCCTCACTGGTGCGGCTCAGTGGGTTGGGCATTGTCCCGCAAGCCGAAAGGCCTCTAGTTCGATTCCCAGTCAAGGCACAGGCCTGGGTTGCAGGCTAGGTCCCAAGTTGTGGGCATGCAAGAGGCAACCAATTGATGTTTCTCTTGCACATTGATGTTTCTCTCTCTCTCACTCCCTTCCCCCTTCTCTAAAAATAAATACATAAATCTTTAAAAAAAAAAAAAAAGAAATACAGGCCAATAAGCTGTCTTTATTTCTTTCAGACAGAACTATGATTGGATTTGCTATTATTTTCCAGTCGTGTATATAACAAATCGAGTTTTGTTATTTCTCAAAAATCTCATTGCTAACTGGAACTTACTTTGCAAATTGAGCTTTTCACATGTCGCAATGGGCCGATCAACAGGACATTTGTACACATCTCCCATTCGGTTCTCAGGAAAGCCACTCCAAGGTGAACCAACCAGTAACCTAAAAACAGGATTTTTTTTTCATTAGATCTTAAATGTTAGCTAATGGTTCTTAAAAATAAAACTGACCACAAAGCAGTGAGGAAACACATTTACCATAATTTCAATGTTTACTTAGTGACTAGTTCATGTTTGTTCAGCTATAATTGGATCTTTGCCCCCGAACCCTAACCCCTTCCTCTTTGCTGATCAAGAGGCTTGAGGGCTGTCTGCTGTCTGGTCCCAGCTCCCCGGGAGGTCTCTTGAACGCAGAGCTGACCAACGGAAACACGGTGCAAGTCACCGATGTCAGCCATAAAGGTCACTTTCAATTGTCTACTGGCTACATTAAGAAAATAAAAAGCCACAGGTGACATTAACTACTATACTTCATTTAACTCTGTATCAAAACTAGCACACGATCAATATTAAACCTATTAATGAGCCATCTGCCGTTCTCTCTTTTCCACAGAAAGCCTCTGAAGTTCAGCATGTCCCTGCCCTTAGGGCCCCGTCCTGGTGGACGGGCAACGTTTCACGCGCCAGCAGCCGGCGGCTACCGTACGGGTCAGCCTAACCCTAGAGAAGGGGACGGTGTTCGAGCTAAAAGCAAAAACTCCCCTGCGCTGCGTGCCTTCTACTCCCGAAGAACTCGCACGGTATTTAGGGAGTCGATGAGTTCCCTCGATGGCTTTATGTTTATCGCTTCTGTAAGTGGGTCCTTAGCACAAAGAAGACAGAGCAGCCACATTTACAGCCAGAACACAGGACACGGGGTCCGCGGCCCGTGCTCCCCCTGCCCCGCGGGTCGGCTTCACTTCCCTCGGAGCGTCTCCAACCAGCGACCACTGCTCCCCTGAGAACCACTCCCCCGGCACAGAAGAGCGGACAGAAAGGGACTGTGCGACAGCCTCCCTCTCCGAGGCTCCGCAGCTCCGGCTACCGAGGAAGGATATTGAATTCAACGTCTTTCCCTTGTCAGAGTTTGGAAGGAATAGATTATCTACCGATGATGCTTAAATGCTTTCATAATCCATTCGTGTAAATGCTTTATCATCATCAGTGAGACAACAGGTGCTCCATGCTTGGTGCTACAGTGGATTAGAGAGGTTCCAGCTGCCCTTCTGTTCACTGAATGTAGTAAAACTCTTTGAAGGACGTGACAACGAAAACAGTAATAACACAGATGAATGAAAAGATACGAATAAGCTCCCCCGTGGAACAAACAGGAAAATGGTCACAAGATGAAGGTGGTGTTGGTGTTCTTCGCAGGGAGAACAGGGAAATGCAGGTCATGCTGAGACAGTTCACGGTTCAGTAATAAGCTTCTCCCCTTATTCATCTTACATAACTACTCTCAAATGAACATTTTCATAGAGCATTCTTGAGTGCTTCATTTAATTCAGTTAACTCTGATGAAGGGTAGAGTTGAAAGCGTTTTCTTCTTGCGAGCATATCATTTAGCATAATTTACCTGTTAAAACATTAACTGTGGACGGGATTACAGCAACACCGGGCAGACGGGTTCAGGTTTTCGGAAAAGAACTCTGAGTGCTGGGTATCGGTGTCCGCTCTGACGAGCGGAGAGGCTGGTACTAGGCCAGGAAATGCGCACAGGGCCCCGCTCTGCTGACCCGTGACACCTCGCAGGGGAGGAAGCCCCCGACAGCTCTGCACTATGAGAGCACCCTCAGCTTCCTCTGCCCAAGTCCTTGCCTTTCATCCCACAGGGGCCTGTCAGCTTGGCCTCTGACCTCTGGGGTCAGACAGGCCTCAGAGCGCAGGAAAAACACAGGGAGACAGACAGCCCCTGCTCGCCCCTCCCATGTGCTCCTCCCCAAAACTCCGCGTGTCCGGCCCACTCCACGTCCCGCTCCACTCGGCTCCTCCGCCATCAGAGGCTGCCTGGCTTCTGAACCGTCACATGGCCTGCGCCCTGCCTGGCAAGGCCCAGTGCTCCCGCTCGGTTGCCCGCCCTCCAGGGGGCCCCGGCTCTGCCTGTGTGGGCAAGGGCGCTCCACCTGCACGTCCAGGGCCACCGGCTCCCCGGCTGGTGCCGCACACTGGGCTGCCTTCCTGCCCGGCGACTAAGCGCCTGAGAGGGCAGGCCCGCGAGGCTCGGCACAGCGCAGCGGCGCCGGGACACTGCCTGTGGGACCGAGCGGTGAGAGCGCAGAGGAGCGCGCAGAGGACCGGCGGCCGCACCAGTGTTTAGGGGGGCTCTCCTGGTTGAGGAAAAGTTGAGTAGGGAAAACATATCTTTGTGTTTTATTTATTTATTTACCCTAGCCTGCGGATATTTTGTCCCTGCTTTTAAAAAGAGAGGAAGGGAAGGAGAGAAGCGTCGACTGGTTGCCTGCTGTACACGCCGGGACCTGGGATCAGAATTGCCCTGACCGGGAATCGAACCCGCAACCGTTTGGCAACAGGATGATGCTCCAACCTACTGAGCCACACTAGCCAGAGGTTTTAACATTTAAAAAAAAAATTTTTTTTTAATGAAAATCTTAATTCTGTTCTCTGAGTTAAAGTTAAAAGAAATAAGAGGTAAAACCCAACGCAGCTGAGAGGGAAGCGCGCCCTCGCTGGCCGCCCCACAGGCCGACTGAGAAGCAGAGGCGAGTGGGCGGAAGCCAGGGCTGGCTGGGGGGTCTGGAGGGAACTGGTGTCTGGGGCGGACGGCCCTGCCCCGGGCGTGCTCGGCGGGGCACTCATCCCGGAGAGCCTTAGGAAAGCCGGCACCGGGCGCGCGGCCTTCCCAACACGATCTAGTTCCACGTGCAGGACGCGTCGGAGGTGTCGTGCCTCTGTTTTGCAGAAGGAGCCACCGCAACAGAGAGATGAGCAGCTTGCTGTGTCCGCAGCCTTGTGAGGGCCCCGTGCGACCAATTCTGACGCCGAAGTCTTCACCCTTAGTCCTTTCTCCTTCCTCCTGGGGGCAACCAGGCCTGGTGGGCGCCCAGACTGGGAAAACTATCTGGACAGAGCGGCTGCGTTCCAGAACCACCTAGGACTTGAAACGCAGGGCCGTGACCATGCGCTGTAGGAGGGCCCCCAGCCAAGGCCCCCTGGGAGAGCCCGTCCACCCTGGGGGGCCAGGCTGAGCTGGTCACAGGCAGGTAGGAGCAGGGGATGCTCAGACAGAAGCAGGTATGGTTGGTTCCCCTCCACCCTGCCACCTCCCAAGCCCAGAGGAGCCCACTGACGAGCGAAGGGCTCGTGTTTCTTGTCTAAAACTTAACCATGTGCCCCTCGGGGCTTTCAGCAGGAAAGCTCCACCGGTAGCTACTATCCTCTCGATGACAACGCTCCCAAGGCCACGTGCTGTATCCTGCTGACTAAGTGTTTCCGGGGCACCTCCCCCACCTCACGGGAGGGGTCGGGGTGCCGACCTCCCTGACCTCCCTGCAGGCCCTGCGGGCACAGCCCCCAGGCAGCAGCCGGAAGGAGAGAAAGGCATGTAGCGGGTGCCACTTCACGGGGAGATGCGAAAGGTCCGGAAATTCTCTCAGCAAACCCATCTAGATCGTCCAGCATTATAGCTTTTTTTTTTATTAAATTGTGTACTTTTTTTAGAGAGGGGAGAAGGGAGGGAGACGGGGAAGGAGAGAAACAGCGACGTGAGAGAGAAACATCGATCCGTTCCCTCTTGTATGTACCCTGAGCAGGTACCAAACCTGCAACCCAGGCACGCGCCCTGCCCGGGAATCGAACCGGCGACCTTTCGTTGTGCAGGTTGACGCCCAACCCACTGAGTGGCACCGCTCCAGGCAGTATAATGCCATTTAAACTCGTAACAGGAAACACTAGAAAGCAGTGCCCAACCAGACCCTTTTGGTGGCTGCTGAAGAACAAAGGGGTCCTTGTCCCATGGGGCGCAGTCTTCAGATGTGTGACCCACTCTGGTCAGTAGCCTCCAGGTCATGCCGGCGACCACAGAGGACGTTTCCAAAACCACCGCCTCTGCCTTTCCTGGCGGGGTTCCCAGCCGCCTCTCCCCGTCACTTCCGCCCAGGGGGCTGACCCCCACAGGCACTCTTCCTACGGAACTGCGACGTTCTTAAACTAATCAGACAGGAGGAGGAGGGGGCTGGTGTATTCACCCATACAGTTTTCTGTAACCCGCTGCAGCGGAAGGAGACACGTTCGGAGAGGAGGTGACGAAGGCGGGGACGGGGCAAGGGAGGGGGTGCACCCTGCGAGGAGCGGCAGGCTCTCTCCCAAGTCACGGTTCCACCTCGCCACGAGCGGACAAGCCAGCTGCAGGAACAGTGGCGGGTGCCGAGTCTCTGACAACACAGAATCCCGAGACACAAACTTCTCTTTTCCTGCAGGGAAAACGGGAATTCTTCCAAGGCTGCTTAAAATAACACTCACTGTTCAATTATCTTGTGGCAAAATAGTGATTATATAGAGTTCCCAAACAGAGCCAATTTGCCCACCTCCACTGGAATTCGAAGTTCTTTCTGAGGTTGGTAAACAGTATTTATGGAGGCCAGGCCGCTGCAAACCCACAATCCAGGGACTGTTATAAATATCTTCCTTCGGTCTCCGAGTCTCAAAGCTCTCCAGGTGTCCCTTCAGTACGAGCGGTTTTTGTGCAGATGACTGACGGAGATAAGAGTAGGGCGAAACATGCTTTCTTTGATCCAGCAAAAGCTTGCTGAGATCTTACGGGCTGACATTCCGCACAACTCCAGGGGGCGTCCTTCCCTCCAAAACGGCGAGCCCTTCCGTGTGCCGTGTACAACCAGGGGGCTGTCCTCTGCGCCAGACCCGCGTGGGCCAGACTTGATTCAACGCCCCGGGGGACCAGTCGTGCACGAGTCAGTCAGAGCTTTCTGGCCTCATGGAGCTTACGCTCCAGTGCGAAAGGAGAGCGAATAAATTTAATACGTGACTCAAGCGCAGGGTGAGGGCGACCGTGGCTCTGTGGAAAGCCGACCAGGACGGAGTGAGGAGTGTGGGGGACGGAGTGAGGAGTGTGGGGCACTGAAATTCTTGCTAGAATGGCCAGGGAAG